GCGACCTTGAAACGCTTGTATGGCCTCATGCAGGACGCCTTCTTGCGAACCTATGCAGGCCAGCACCGCTGTGTTGTCTGCTCGGCTTTGCCGATTCTTGCCTTTGATGGCAAGGTGAACGCCGCTGTGCCGGTCTGCTGCCAGCGAGAGGGTGAGATGTGGCATCTGCACCATGGGGATGTTGTTCTGGACTATGGCTGCCTGCTTCCTCGGATGCGTGGCTCCTACGCGTGTAAGCAGCACCACACACCGGCTTCGACGTCCAGAACAGATGTCCTGTGCATCAGCGGACATCGCCTGCATCGTTTGCCCCCTGGGTTGAGCGTGGCGGTGGCCTGCAGTGCCTGCGCCGAGTGGTTGCCCCCTCGCTCCGCGGTCTGGCGCTGCAGTCTGGGCTGCGCGTGGCTGGTCTGCCAAGCCTGTGCGACCAACGGGGGCGACCTGGATTCCTCGGAAGCTGTGCCTGCCGGCGACATGCTTGGTGCTGACGTTTGTGAGGTGCAGCCGCGAGAGCGCCTCCCACTTGGCGCTTTCTCGCCGGCGGCGGAGCCGCAGCTCCTGGCCGCTGCGGAGAACCCGTGCGGCTTGGTCAAGGACCTGGTTGTTGCTGGACCCTTCCGGCACCATGGAAGTATCATTACTTCCATGCTTGGCTGCGGCAGGGTGGCCATGTTGATGCCCATGGCCGGCCACGAGTCTCTCACGCAGATCTTTGGCATGTTGGCGGCTGTGCGGAGCCGGCGCGTCTTCCAGTACGTGATCTATGACAACGCTTGCGCTTTGGGGCGGTTTGCGCGCCGGCTGGCACGCGTACGCGGGGGCGAGATGGCTGCACAGTGTGCTCAGCTCACTTATGTGCTGGACCGGTGGCACAAGCAGAATCACTCTGCCTGTCTTTCCCCTGGCCATCGGCTTCACATGCCTGAAGTGGACATCGATGCGCATCCCCTGCTGGCCCCACTGAACTCCAGCGCCTCTGAGCAGTTTAATGCTTGGTTCGAGTTGTTTTTGCCCGTGGCCCGCAAAATGCGCGCAGAAGCATTTAATTGCTTTACCATCCTGCTTGCTGTACTCTGGAATGAACATCGTGCCGGCAAGCAGGCTGCTTCATTTCAGCCCGTGCTCCCACGACCTGCGGAGAGCGGCTCGTTGTTGAAGCGGCGTCGCGGATAGCTCGACGTGCTCCGAGAGTGTTAGGTTTTTTTTCTGTTCTCAGTAGTCCTCTTGTCATACCGCAGAGTGTCGCCTTCCGGCAGAAACCCCCGTGCTGGCTGGAGCTGGTTTGCTTGCCACTGTCGGTCATGGGGGCTGCTGTGACCTTTGCGTGTGAGAGGGCCCCTTGCTTTTTTTCCACACGTGTGTTTTTCACCATTGTGCATGTTGCTGCCTGCAGCTGCTTGCATCACAGTGCTCCCCTTGCAGTTTGCAGTCTCTGTGTGTCGTTCTGCCATGGCTGCTCATGCTGAGACTGCGTTCAAGAAGCGCGTGCAGGACTCAGCTGTGCTGCAGGACTTCTTCCGCGAGCTTGAGGCGCAGCCATTCCCCGGTGACATCCTGCGGGAGAACTATGCCGGGGCTGTGGCGCGATGGGAGCTCCTGGGCCGCACGCAGAGCACGCCCTGGATGTGGGTGATGTTTGCGGAGCTGTGCTTGGTGTCCTTTTTGGCCCCAACGGCTGCCCTGCGGCCCATCCCGTCCATCACCGTCTACGCGGTCCTGTGGTTCTTCTTTGTCCATCCTGGCTCCACGTCGACCAGCAACCTGCTGCGGCTGTACGGGGATGCTTTGGATGCCGGGCCCGTTCAGACCGAGGCCGTCGTCGCCAGGACTGGCTCACTCAGCATGGCAAGGCTGGTGGCAAAGGTCGGGGTGAGGCCAACCCTTTCCTTGGCGACTTGAGCTTGACACTCTCTGCGGGCTCCTTGGAGGGTGAGGGTCGGACCATGGCGCAGGCCCAGAACCTGGGCCGTTCGGTTGGCTTCATTGCGGAGGGCAAGCGCTTCTTCAAGTGGCTGCAGGCTGAGGGCTCCGTCAACGAGGCTATCGCCACTGAGCTGTACGAAAGGGCAAAGTGGAAGAGGACAACCATCCATGAGGACAGGTCTTTTAAGATCGCGTATCCTTTCTTTGCCGCCTGTGGCGCCCTGCACGTGCCTGATGTGGCCAGTCTTTTCACGGAGGGCGACCCTCTTGGAATCCGGGGTCGGGTGTCCTTTTTCAACACTGCAGAGCAGCTTCGGGACGCCAACCGCGTCATCAATGCCCAGGAGACCCTAGTGGATGACGTGGCTTCCTTTTTTTGGCCCTGCCACACCACGCACGACCCAGTCTGGGCTGGCGGGGAGCACTTCCACAGACAGAAGGGCTACCCTTTCCGTTTCTACCGCCTGTCCCCCGATGCTGCGCGGGTGTTTGATGAGACCTTCGATGTGCACGTGCGTGCGCAGGAAGCGAGCCACCTCACTGACCAGGAGCAGGCAAAGTTCCACGGGAAGGCCAAGACGAAGCATTTGCGGCTCGTGCTGGCCCTGCATCTTTTTGAGGAGACCCGCCAGCGCCACACGATCGAGACCTGGTCCACGACTCTGGAATCGCGCCACTTGGTCGTCGCTGAGAAGCTTGGAGAGTACCTGGACATGGTGGCTGAGCGAATGAGTGGCTTGTTCAAGACCGTCCTGTCCGACGTGCCCGACCGCGGTGCACCCGCGGGTGCCGCGCGGTCTGCGCGGGCGAGCGTGCGGGAGCAGCTGGAGCAGGTGCTGCAGGCGAACTGGCAGTCCTTTCGGGACATTCCTGAGGACAAGGCAATCCTGTTCTGGCAGCTTGGGCAGCACGTGCTGAACACCACGGCTGTCTGGGTGGAGAGCACTGCAGTCTGCCGCCACGCTGGCCTGCGCGCGCTGCTCAGCAGCCTTGGCGATTATGCGCTGGCCCGAGTTGCTCGTCTCCTGCAGCACCTTGGCTTCACAACGACTGTCCGCGGGAAAAACACCCACGGCACGCCTGTCTTTTACATCGCCAAGCGCGAGCTGACGGCGGAGCTGGCCGAGTTCACTGCCCTCACCAACATCATCTCTGAGTTTGAGATCGGCATGCAGGGCTATCGCAGCTACCCGGCCACGGCAGTTCAGCAGCATCAGCCCAACAATGCTGCGTCCTCGCCGAGCTTTCCCGTGCTTGCAGGCGACACAATGCGGGCGGGTCTGTCCCTTGTGCGGGCGTGCCGCGCTGCGGTGCATGCGCAGGTGGCGCCTCCAGCCCCAGTTGCCGCGCCAGCGGCCGCGGGGGCACGGTCTCTGCACTAGCTGCGCTGCTGCCCTTGTCCAGCCCCTGTGATGGCTGAGATTTTTTGGTGTGATGGCTGAGATTTTTTGTACCGAACCTGATGCTGCCGCGGGCGCCGAGAAAGGGCCGGGTGCATTGGGTTCATCTGAGTGGCATGTTCTCCGGGTGTCGCCGCACCGCGCGCGCCTTGACGCGCCAGGCCCCGCCGCGCGCTTGCTCGCGTGCTGCCTGGGCCCCGGTGCATGTTGGTTTTGTATGTCATGAGGTTTGCTCTTGCTCGCGCTGTCGTGTCCCGCCTGCCTTCGCACGAGACCGGCCAGGTGAGAGCTGGAGACTGAGAGCAAGGCTTCCGGGGGGGGGGGGGGAACGTCCTTGACCTTGGCACGTTTTGCAAAGAACCTTGAGAAATGCAATGGCGCCTTGCGGGAGAGTTTCAGACAATTGCGGGAGGACCCTGGTGGCCGAGGGCTCAGTTGGCACCCTCTGGTTTTGGGACTGGGCTCGAGCGGGGGGTTGGGGGGGGGCGGCGCCCTTTGAGAAGCGCACGCTTGGGTCGAGGACTTCCAGGGGGGGCTTAAGGGGGGGCTTCAGGGGGGCTTCAGGGGGGAGCTTGCGGGGGGCTTAAGGGGGAGAGGGCTTGAGAGGGGGGGGCTCAAGCCGCACCTGGCCTTAAGGTGCGGCTTTCAGGGGGCCCGTGCTTAAGGGGGGCTTCAGGGGGGCTTCAAGGGGGGCTTAAGCCTTGGCGCCGGGGGCTTCGGCTTCAGGGGGGGGGTTAAGGGAGCTTTGTACTTTGTCGGGGGCCGGAGCGGAGCCGAAGCGGAGCCGGAGCTGAGCCGGAGCGAGGCCGCAGCGGAGCCGGAGCGGAGCCGGAGCGGAGCCGGAGCTGAGCCGGAGCGGAGCCGGAGCGGAGCCGGAGCGGAGCCGAGCTGCGCCGGAGCGGAGCCCGAGCGTAGCCGCGGCGAAGCCGAAGCGGAGCCGGAGGCGGAGCGAAGGCGGAGCGGAGGCGGAGCGAGGGTGGAGCGCAGGTGCAGCGATGGTGGAGCGGAGGCGGAGCGGAGGCGGAGCGAAGGCGGAGCGAAGGCGCAGCGCAGGCGCAGCGAAGGCGGAGCGCAGGCGGAGCGGAGGCCGGGCGGAGGCGCAGCGGAGGCGGAGCGGAGGCGGAGCGGAGGCGCAGGGGGCGCTTCAGGGGGGGGGCCTTAAGCTGCGGCTTAAGGGGGGCTTCAGGGGGGGCTTACGGGGGGGCTTCAGGGGGGGCTTCGAGGGGGGGTTTAAGGGGGGGGCTTAAGGGGGGGCTTAAGGTCGAGGACCTTCAGGGGGCGTTCAGGCGGGGTGGGGGCTTAAGGGGTGGCTTAAGGGGGGGCTTAAGGGGCTTTAAGGGGGGGGCTTAAGGGGGGGCTTAAGGGGAGGCTTAAGCCTTCGGACCTTTGTCGTGAGACCTTAAGGGGGGCTTAAGGGGGGGGGGACTTAAGCCCCCCTTCGCCGAAGGGTGGCAAATTTTGAGGCTAGACCTGGGCCTGGTTTAAGGGGAAGCCAAAGGAACCCTCCCACCATTTCGCTTGCTGTTCGGGAAGCCAAAGGGTACGCCTTAAAAGAGGCGTGGGTGTTCCTTTTGGTATTCCTTTACAACGAACCAAACAAGTGGTACCAGCCCAACAAAACGACGAGCCGCCCGAATTCGCCGCAACCTGCTGCTTGCACCACTGGCCTGTCGTCAGGAGAAGCTGCCTCCGGAGCCAACAAAGCCTCCGCTGCACTGAGCTCAGCAGAGAGCTGCGTGCCGACAAGGACTGAGTCCGTCAAGGTGTTTTTTGTTGACAAAATGTGTGGTGTTCCTTCTGCGTTCCATTTTAAGCATAAGAAAAGACGCCAAAAAGGGATCTGATTGTAGGGCTTCTCTCATGTGGGGTGAGAGGAAAGGTACCCATGTGGGGTTGTCAAAACTATGGCTGCTTTTTGTACCTGTTTCGAACCAAACTGGAGAGAGGTTTTTGTTGGGACCCTTGTGCATTTTTCCCTTCTGGAAGAAGCAGGGCTCCAAGATCAGGGACCCTTTTCTTTTTGAACAACTCTGAAATGGAGATTCCATCAAAGAAACAGTCTTTTGGACAGGGACAGTGTTTGGAATTTTTAGGGTTGGTTTACTTGGTCCCCTTAGCTTTTTAGCTTTTTAGTGTGTAGTGGGGATTTCCAGTTAACCCACTAAAAGTAAAGCTTTTAGCAGGGGATCTGGGGACAGCCCAGTTTAGGAAGCCTGCGGGTGGCCTATGAGATTTGTGGGCTGAGGCCAAGCCTAGTACAAGCAGCCCAGCATGGCAGGGGGCCCATTTGGCGCGAGACGTGTGGTGATTCAGCTCCAAAAATCTGTGTGCATAGGTGTCCTTTTTGGTTGTTTTGGTAGAAAAATAGAGGGCGATTCCTGGTTTACCTGGCGGTTTATTCATCTACCAGGGCCATCTAGTTGCCCTAACAGGACACCTATGTATGTGTATGTGCGTGTGGCCATTGTTCGACTATAAACTCTGAAAAGCTGGGATGTGTTTTTTTCGTGGTGGGCATAAACCTCAGTAGAAATCATGGGCACCAAGTCGTCTCTCCTTTCAGTGGGTATGTGAAAAACAGACCCCAAAATGGCCCCTGGTGTTGCTTTGAACCAACTCATAAGAACCCCTCAAAAAGTAAAGCCCATATGGGTGCTGATCAGAAGTTCCAGTATCAGGAGACGCCAATTGAGTGTTGCCCATGGTCATGTTGGGGCCAGGAGAGTTCTTGTCTCGCCTTGAACAATCGGCTGCCCCTGTAAAGCACATACATGTTTCCACTCGTCAACCAGCGCACAAAGGAGCTGTCTCCACCAAACCTAAAGCCGTCATAGAAGAGGCAGAAGCCCATCTTTGTCAAAGGAGGTCGGGCCCTCCATCTTCTGGATGTGTTTGTGTGTCAGGCCAGGACGTTGTGGTGCCCCTGTCCTTGGTGGAGCAGCGCGACGCCGACGCGACGCTGGAGGGGGATGGGTTGGCATAGGAGGCCATGGGGGCGGGTTTTTCCATGTTGGGGCTTTCTGGTGGACATCATGTCCTTGGAAAGTTATGTTCCACAAGTACTTTTGAGGGGTTCTATCTTAAAACAAATATGTGGAAAATGGGGGTGTTAGGCTATCCCACTTGTGCAGTTAAGGGACCCCCAAGTGACTTGTGGGAATGGAATCGGCGCACTCTCGGGTAGCTTTCCAGGGCCTTCTTGAATGCGCTTCGCGTTTGTCAGGCACAGCAGGTCTCGGCGATTTCCGGCTGTCCAGCCGGTGCAATTGTCCTTTTTCCCCAACAGCTGGAAGCTTTGGGGTCTCCGCCCAGAAAGGCTGCGGGGTGGTCCAGGGTGGCCCTGAGGCAAGGTTCCACAAGGTTCTGCGAGGGCTGCGGTGGTGCGAGCACTAAAAAGAGCACCGCATGCTGTTGGGGATATCACCTGAGCCTTCTTCTTTTTTGTTCTTCGGAAGGGAGCCTTGTGAAGTGTCCCCCATCCACCAAAAACGAAAAGAACACAGTGACCCCCGTAGAATGAGTAACCCCAAAAAAATCAGCGACATCTCCTAAAATGCTCGGCGCTCCTTCAAGCTGAGCTCCAGGACATCGCTTTTAGCTGGGAGCAGCGGGTGGACGCGGCAGAGCTCAGGGCCTCATTGGAGAAGGATGGAGATTTCAGAGCGCTCAGCGGCTGGGGCCATGAAAGGAAGGGGGAGGGTTTCACTTTTTTCATTACCCCAAAGCAGACTTAATCCAACGGGTTCTTCAATTTTGGAGGAAATCAACCACCTCTGGGTGGAAAAGTCGACATCGAAATATGTCAAACAGTGGAACACGGGTAGGGGTAGTGTTTGGTTGGGTTTCCAGTTTGTTTTCTTTGGTGTTCAGTTCGTTCCCCTTTGGTTTCTAGTTGTTTCCTTGTGGTTTCCAGTTGGTTTCCCTTTGATTTGGTTTCTCTACAAGCCAACCTCTAGAGGCTAGCCTCAAAGAAGAATCCGTGTGAATGAAGCCGAGGCATCGGAAGCTATGGAGCTTGGAACAGTGGCTTTCTTGGGCCGAGCGGAGCCAACGAACAAGCCAGGAAAAAATGAGCATTCGCAGCACTTTCGGGGCGACTTGCTCTCAAATTGAGACGATCCATTTCCGTGCCGGTTTGCCGTGTTTGCTTGACATGTTTGAGATGGATCTCTGTGTGTGCGTGTGTGTGTGTGTGTGTGGCTGGTTGGTTGGTTGGTTGGTTGGTTGGTTGGTTGGTTGGTTGGTTGGTTGGTTGGTTGGTTGGTTGGTTGGTTGGTTGGTTGGTTGGTTGGTTGGTTGGTTGGTTGGTTGGTTGGTTGGTTGGTTGGTTGGTTGGTTGGTTGGTTGGTTGGTTGGTTGGTTGGCAAAATGGGAGGCCCTTGTCGCTGGCGCCGAATCTTTCCTGTCGAAGCGGTCCAACAAGAAACACCTTTTGTGCAAATAAATATACATGTATATACGTATATATGGTGCCCCCCAAAAAAAACAAATATATATATATATATATACAAATATCGTTTTGACCCCCATTGAAGAACCCCGTTGCAGTCTGAAGTCTGAATGAAGGAGTTCGGCGAAGCTTTCGCCAGGCGCTGAGCCATTTTCCCTGCTGTGCTGGGCGCTTCGTGAAGCGGGTCGTCGCCCGCGCCTCAAAGAGGGCGAGGCTTGCGTCTCCTTTGCGCCCCGTCCGAGCATCCAACAGCCAAGGTTGTTTTGATTTTAAGGATCGGAAAGCTGAGGGAACCCCTACCTTAGCAAACCATATGTGTGACCGCTGTTTGAAGGGCACAGCTGTCACAGGGGCCGATGGGTTTCTTCGGAAATCTCGCTAGTACAGCTTATTGAAGACAGTCCCAAACCAGACCTTTCGCAGAACAGCTTGCACAGTTGCTTGCATTTTTCGGGTATTCCCCCCAAGAAAACGAAAAGTGATGGTAAACAGACCTCGCGTGCCACCTGGGAATGCCATTTACTTGTTTCAGCTGGGCGAACTCCTGTAATTGACGAATTCATGCAGCATATGAAGATTCGATGCTGCGGCATTTGCGGGCTTCCGAATCTCCAAAGGCCAAAGCGGATTCGTCTTGGGATCCAACAAAAGCAGCCTCTGCCCGCGCCGAGTTTGTGGAGCCGGCAGCAGGAGTGCGGACACCCAGACGAGAGATTTCAGGCATGTTGGCACGGCTGTGCAAAGGTTCTCTTGGCTTGGAGGTTGTGGTCCCAGAAAAGAAAGAGAGAGGGAGGGAGGGAGAGATGGAGAGAGAGGGAGAGAGAGAGAGAGAGAAAGAGAGAAGGGGGGTCTTAAAACAGTTGACCCTTAAAGATATGTTGTTCCTTTGGTTTCCCTTTAAACTAGCCCCCAAAAAGGGTGCCCACTGAAAAAGAAGAGACTCAGAGAGAAAGACAAACAGAGAGGATGGGCCCAGTCGAAAGCTCCAAGGTAACGCTGAAGCAGCCCAGGCTCTGCATTTTATGCAACAATGCGGGGGTCTCAGGTCGGTCGGTTATGTGACGTTCGCACTGAGCTGGTGATACCTCGGGCGAGGTTTGAAGTAGAATCTACCGTCGAACTCTCATGTCCTTTCCGGGTGGTACTCCGGGTGGTTGAATATCGCCTGTTGTCAATTGCCCAGTTGCTCAGTGGCGGCCGGTTTTTTGGGGAAGGGTTCTCCTTCAAACCCAACCAAGCAAAAAATGGATGCCTCCTTTTTCCCATAGAAATCCACTGGGCATCCGAGGCCGGGTTTGTCCAAAGCGTTCCCCCTTGAGTTGTTCAAAGCGTGAAGGTAGGAACCACTGCGTCAGGCCGGCATCAGCTTCAACCATTGCCCCTACGATGGTAAGCGGCCATCTGCCCGGACCTTAGACACCACATGCCGGAGCAAATAGCAAACATGGTAGAGGCATGGGTGTGGCTCAAAATTGAACAGGAGGGGTTACGCAGGATTTGGTCCATGTTTCCACTTACCAGGGTTTCATGTCGGTACCGTTTTTTGACCCACAGCCACATGGGTGTGCGCTTTTTGACGGTGCCCGTTTTGGGTTGCTTGCAAGGAGAATCAGAGGCAAGCCAAACGTCGTGCCCTCTCATTCTGAGACAAACCCACACATGAGCGATTCCCCAACAAGAACATTAATCATTCTTGAGAGCAGCTCATTAGTCAGCAAGGGGGTTTGCGGGCTTTATCCTCACACCCTAGCTAGTCAACAAGGAGGGGTTCATCCATCACGAGGGGCCCTTTTTATCTCCAACTCCCGTTGCTTTCAAACGGGGGGGGGGCCGGCACATGGTGAATAGTGCCCTCAGGATTTCCAGTTTGGGGCGGGGATGATGGATGTAAAGTTTTGGTTTTAGGGCAGCTGTTTGTAATACCCAGGGATCCTGTTTGGAAGTGAAAGCATATCTGGAGGGATTCAAATCTCTCTTTGGCGTCTTTTTTTGGTGACGCCCCCCAAAAATTGGATTTCGGTTGTCCTTTTGGCTTCACTTTGAGACCAACCAAAGGAGTTTTGTCAAAAACAAAGCAAAGCCATGGTGGGGCTGCGTGCTGTGAGGTTCTCGGACCGCTCACCGGGCTTTTCGACCGCGCCGTTGGCACGGCGAACAAGGCGGGGCTTCTGCCCCACTTTGGCTCGTCAAACATCGGAGTGTTTTTTTGGTTTAGGGCAAACCAAGCTGGTATGCCTGATGTTAATTTGGAGATCACATCGGGGGGCCTGCCCAATCGAACCAACTGCAAGTAACATCCGTGGCTCATTGGTTGTGTCTTTGTGTTGAGGATACCTAACATGGAACCTGACTGGGAACCCTGGACCATGCTCAAGGGACCTTCGTGCCCTTTTTCCCGGCGCATGAACAGGGAAGCAGGGCAGACATCAAGCTGTTTGGCAGGTAGACGCGTTCATTTGCGTTCAATTGGCAGTGTCAGGGTGCCTTAGGCTTATCAAGGGAGGGTTTTGGAGAGCCTGGGCTCGGGGCTGCCGAGGGGTTCCAAAAGTCACCAATGTGCAAAATAGAAATAGGAGCTGTGCCCCTCGGTGAACATTGCTTTTGGATGCTCCGTTGATTGTCACCCATCGCAATATTGAAAATGCATGTCCCTGGTGCACGTACGGTTTCCCCACTTAGTTTGGACGTGTCAGTACTCAGAAAATCAGTGTGTGACAACATATTGAATGAATGCTCACACCATATCGTGGCCTTCGTATCCTGCAATAAGGCACAATCTGGGTGGGGGTGTTGCAATATCGGATGGCAGGAGAAGGCTACGGCTTGCAGGCTTCAAAAACGACACACACACACACACACACCACACACACACACACCGATGTGTAGGTCCGAAGCAAAGTTCAAGGTCCGATAAATGAAACCTTCGAAAATCCACCCGAAAGTTTCGCCAATTCAGAGGATCCCAATTCAGAAGTGAGAGCCAAGGATCAACATGTCGGAGTCTCCAAAACGTTGGACCTTTCGCCGTTTGGACGGCTCGTTTTTTAAGGGGCCCCCAAAAAAATCGTGTGGGTTTCGCTGTGGTTTCCGTTTGCACCAGCCACAAAAAGGGTACCATCAGAAGAAGGCAGACCCATTTAGTTCCTCGTGCACTCTCTACGTGCCACCAAACTCGGCGTCCTGCCTTTTCCATGCAGTCCTTAGAATCATGCGTAATTTCAGGCGGCTCTCGAGCATCTATCATCTAGCAACTTACAAGGCCCCCTGCACGTGCCCTTCAAACAGAATCCCACCAAGAAGAAACTCGGCTTGATTTGGCCCAGGTGATGTTTGAAACCACAACGGAAATATATGAAACCATGATAACTCTGTAGACTCCGCGCAGGCTAAGAGTTTCGACCTTTTATGGAGGTGAAGTCGTGAACACCAAGTGTAAGGCATGAGACTGGTCACATTTGGAAGCTGATCGCCAAAGTTTTGCTTGAAGTTCTGCACTCGCCTCTCAGTTTTTTTTTTCCCCCGAGCCATCTGCGCTTGACCAAGAACCATGAAGCGCCCCTCTGCCAAGCGCGTGAAGCCCGTGAAGCCCGTGAAGCCGGCGGCCAAGCCGAAGGCGACGAAGGCGACGAAGGAGCTGTCGGTGGCGCCCAAGGACGCCTTCTACGCGGCCTCCCGCGCAAAGTGGCGGGCCTGGCTGCAGAGGAACTTCCGCTCACTGGACTACGTCTGGCTGGTGTGCCCCCTGAAGGTGGCATGGGGAAAGTTTCGAGGGTGAGACCCTTGACATTTTCCCTTCCAGGTGACAGAGTAGTTGGGATGGAAAACTCTGGCATCATGGAAGTTGTTGGTGTCCATGGCCATAAACGGCTTGGGTACCCTTTGTAGGTTAGGGGGGTTCAAAGGAAACCCTCGATTTTGCGGCTTCCGCCCATTTTAAAGACCAACCCCATGCCAAAGGTGTCAAAGCTGCCGAGCGTGGGGTACAACGATGCGGTGGAGGAAGCCTTGTGCTTCGGGTGGATCGACAGCACGTATCGACCTCTGAGCAGCACCCTTGGCATGCAGCGCTACACGCCTCGCCGCAAAGTGGGGGAGAACTACTCGCAGGTGGCCTTAAGACTTCACCCTTTCTTGACCTTATTGGGTTGGATTTTTAGGCTTTAACTTTTTTGGGAAATCAATGGGTTTTCCACTAAACCCACTAAAATGTTGAACTTTTTGCAGAGGGCTCAACGGCAGCCAAGTTAAAGGGGTGGGTAGGGAGTGGCCATCCACCCCTTTAGGGAGTTGTTCGACGGCCAGGGCAAGGAGTCACATTCCGGAAACTGCGAAGTTTTGGACAGGTGAACACGGAGCGACTGCGCTGGGTGGATGGCAAGGGCTTGATCCATCCCTTGGTGCGGCCAAAGATAGCGCACGTCCTGAGCGCGAAGTTCGTATGGCCAAAGGACATTCTGGCGGCCGTCGAGCAGGAGCCAGACGCTGGGAAGTTTTGGAAGCGATTCAGCGCCTCCTATCGGAGAATCCGAGTCGCTTGGGTGGAGCAGAAGAGGAAGGAGCCAAAGGAGAGCTTGGGCTTTGCTTCCAAATCGGGGGATAAACGGTGACAGATCAAAGGGCACTGGGTTCGTTTGAGGTGCTTTTGTTTTTTATTTATTCTTTTGGGGTTCTTTTGGCGGGGTGGTGTGGTCGGGGGGTGGTTGGAGGTTGGGGAGGGGTGGTGGCAGCTTAAAGCATTGAAGAGCCTGGAGGAGTTCCAGAAGAGGCTGAAGAATCTGCTTTGGAAGACCAAGCTCGGAAGGCAGTTTGGCACCGACATCGAGAAGTATTACTGAGCCGGCAAAAACAAAGATTCTTGGACGCCTTTTGTTGGGGACCCCCCAAGGGATTTCGGCTTTCCTCTTGGTTTCCCTGGAAAACCACAAAATTCCGGGTACCCTGAAAAAACATGACATACCCACTTGGCCGCTGAAGAACTTGCCGCATTTTTTGCCCTTGCCAATGTGACCACCTGGTGTTCAACGCTGGCACCTTGAGCCCGGAACTGGGTTCGGGGGGAAGGCACCCTCCGGCCGCTCACGCGTCGCTCACGCTATCGACTCAGCCGAAATGAGAATGGAAGACACGCGGGATTGGGGCTGCTGAAGAGGTCGGTCTTGGGGAAGCGTGCTGAGGATGTGTCCCAAGCAGTCAGAGTCAGAAGCTTTGTAATGGGGATAGGTTCATGTGTTGGTAAGATGTTTGCCGGGGTTGAGCTTGTACAAGGCTTGACCGCAGCTTTGCGCAGGCGGATGGCAGCGACGCCCCGTTGTTGAGAGCCGGTTGGCTCAGAATGCGCGAGACTGACGCAGGGTTCCCAGGAACTGCCCCCAGGTTCACTCGGATGCAAAGTAGAAGAACCCCTGTGAAATGAACCGATACGAAGCAGGAAACTGCCCCTGATTAGTCAGGTCTTCTGGATGAATCCGAAGCTGACAGGGCACTCGGGCAGTTGGGCGTGATCTGTGGCAGGAGTGTCTTTAAAGGGGACCGCCACCGAAAAGGGGAGGAATGATCTTTGCTTCTCAGGGTGTCTTAAAGGGACCCTACTCCTCTGGGGAGGAGTTACCCCTTTTGGGGGTTAAAAATGGGCGCCAGGCCCATTTAAGGCTTGCAGGACCCCTAAATTCTGGGTCCCCAGTAGTGCCCTTTTCCCCTATTTTGGGGGAGGGTTCCCCTACTAAATTAGACTACAGAAAAAGGGTACCCTTGTTCCAACCTCTCTACTCAACCTAATGCCCCAACCCCTCGCAACCCCTCCTCCTTTCTTCATGTTTCCGTCCTTTTTGGCACGAGGTGAAACTCCTGGACTGCCAGGACAGCCGTCCATGGGTGGAAAAAATCGGGGCATCGAAGGGTGGTTGTCGCTGGTTGGCTTTGTTCATCTACCCACTTGTTGGGTTTTCTGGCTAAATACCTTCGTTTTTAGTGTGTTGGAGTAGGAGGTGAGCTTTGTTGTTTTGGTAGCTCCTTCTATTGCTTGGCTCCTTGATTCCTTCGTTTTCGCGTTGATTGCTCTTCCGGTCGCTTCCTGCATTCATATGAGGTCGCCTTTTCATGCTTTCTTCGCAGCTGAATTCCTTGCTGGTGCTGAGCAGGGAATGAGAAATGGAACGCACCGTTTGGGGATTCCCGAATAAAGGAAACCGAATCGGGGACGGTTTTTCTCAGGTTGTTCCATGTCTCATTCCCTGCATCTCGCGCCAGCAAGAAAAGTGTTATTTTCGTGTAAAGCCGCCAAGACCGACCAATGTGGCTGTGGGTCAAAACCAATGGTACCATTTTGTAGGTGCACCACCCATTTTAGTCTATTTTAGTGGGGATTGGGATGTTCACTGGATTCTGACCGTATGGTTTCATACCGAAGAAGAAAAACAACAAGACAGCCAGAGAAAGCAAAAAGAGAAGAAGAGAAAAAAAAGGCCAAGACCGCCAGGAAAAAAAAACACACTTGTCTCACAGCAAGGAAATTGTCAAAAACGGGCTGCGCAGGACGGGCAGATCCTGGCCATCAGCTTCTCGCACGGCTTGGCGGATCTGGAAGGAATGGGTCCTGCCGGCAAGTGTTCGACAAAATGGGTGGGGGAAACCAAAAGGGGTGGGTGGGAGGGGGGGTACCCCTTGTGGGTTTTTGAAGGGGAACGAAAAAGGAAACCACACAAAAAGAGGATGCCCCCGAAAAGCGAGAAAAAGACCAGCATGATGGCCCAGCATGCTATGTGCAAGTCTCAGGAGCATGCTGCACCATGCATGAGCAAAACATATTTGATATGAGCTTTCGTCAACAAAACGTCCAGTAGTGTTTGATCAAGTTGGGAGACACCAGCAGGAGACACTTCTCGTTTCCCACGCACGCCAGGAGGACTCACACCTTGTAAGGAATCCCACTTGTTTTTGGGGGTTTTGACCATTTGTGCGGTCAACATGTCCGGGAGGGGCCAGGTTTAGCGACAAAAACAGGGGGTGGATTCGGAATTTGGGCTCCTACTCTGCCACACACACACACACACATGTGGGCAGTGTTTTTTGGGGCACCCCCAAACAAATGTGAGTTTTCTTTGGGTTCCCTTCAAAGCCAAGCTTTAAGAGGGGTACCATCAGAACAGACACAGTTGGGCACGGAGCCAGCGCTCGCTTAGGCCTTTTCCTGCAGGCCTGGAGCCGTTTCCACCGCGGAGAGGAGCGAGCAGCTGGAGTGGGGGACAGGTGGACCCACGCGAGCCGTTTCCAGAGCTTTGGAAATGGACACAAGGGCGCGAGGAAGCCAGAGCCACACACACGTAGGGAGGGAGGGAGGGTGGCAGGGTGGCAGGAGGGAGGGAGCAAAGACCAGGCTGGCTTCATGTGGCAGAATGTGGGTGGCCTTTTTTTGTGTGGGGGATCCCAAGAAATAGGTTTCCCTGTAAGACAAACCAAACTGGGCACCGAGCCTCGAAAAAGACGAGCCACTCATGCAGCGCAAGTGATCAAGTGATCATGACATGCCCCTTTCGATGGTCAGGTGCTGATCAGCTTCAAGTGATCACCGTGTTGATCTCCATAAAAGATGGTTTATTTGTAATATGTCTATGTGTCAAGACCGGACCCCCCAAAATGGCAGTCCCGTTGGCTTCCTTTGAACCAAACTGAAAAACGCTCAGTTCCGTACAAGAAGCACCTCCTGTGCGAGGATCCTCTAACTCACCCGGCCAAATGGCGTTTTTGAGGTGGCCGGACAACGTGGTTCCTGAAATCGTACATGAACAAGAAGCACGAGGGCCCAGAAACGCGTCCCTTCACCACCCCCGAGCCTTCCAAGCGGCGCGGCCCCAAGCCGAAAAACTTTGTGCCAGGACCCGGGGCCCGCGTCTCACGACGCGCGGGTCGTTTTGGAAGGCGCCCTGAACAACGCCGCGGGCCCGGGAGTGGAGCCGCAGATTGGTTTTTCGTTTTTCCTCGGCGTCCAATTGACCCAATTGTCTAAGGGCACCGAACTTTGGTTGAAAAGAATGGGGAATCAACCCAGAGAAATCCGAGTCCAACTGCAATTGTCTAGGGGCACCTTCCGTTTCCATTTTTTCCCAGGCATCCGGATCTTTCTAAAAAACCGCCCAACAAATTATGGCGAAACAGCTGGTGTTTGAAAAGAACGATGGTTGAAAAGAATGGGGAATCAACCCCCAGAAATTGCTTCCATGTGCTTAGGGATTGTTTATAGTTTCCCGTGTTGGTTTTAAAGAGAATCTATCACTACTGGACATATTTTAGTTATGCCATTTTTGGTGAAGCCGGATTTAGCCCAAGCCCAGTGGTGTTTGTAGGCAACCCAAGCCCAGTAGTGTTCTTGCTAAAGACGACTTTGGCTCGGGGCAGAGCTTTGTCTGTGCGTGTTGCTTGCGCCTCTCTCGATGATGCCTTTGAAGCTAACGAGTTACTCGGATTGAGCCACGTGGACTCTGACACCGCTGGGTCCCCGAGCATGTTAAGTTCGCTGAAATTACCTTCGTGACTCGGTGGTTTTCCCTTACACCGCCATTTCTCAGTTTGTTTTTTGGGACCCAGAATAACAGGTTGACCTGTTGGGGCCATGACTAAAACTGAAACCAAAAAGGTTAAAGCTCGATTCGCTTGGCGCAAGTGCAATTTAGCTTGGATGATTGTGCTCATGTCTTACTAAAACTTCAGGGATTGATTCCCCATTCTTTTCAGCCATCGATCTTTTCACGAACCAGCCATTTCTCCGGGGTTTTTGGTGAGAAAGACTCGGATCCGTAGAAAGAACGGAAATGGGGAAGCTACCCCTAGAAAAATGGGCCCTGTGCCACGCGAACCAAGGGATTCCCAAAGCTGGATCCGGCCTTTACCTACCTCCATAGACGTGAGCTCGCCACCAGAGCCTGGTCCTCAGCTTGAAATGTGTTCACAACGGGAGCATGGCTGTTAGCATAGGTGTCCTTGTTGGTTGTTTTGATAGAAAAATAGATGGCCCTGGTTTACCTGGTGGTTCAATGCTCTACCAGGGCCATCTATTTTCCCTAAAAGGACACCTATGGCTGTCCGACTATTAGTTTGTCTCAAGAATGGAGGAGTTTCAAACATGGGCCCCTTTTCGGTTGGTGGCTGAAGGGAAACCAAAGGAAGTAGCTCAACCCCTGGATTGAGCACCCTCCAGGTGGGGGAGGGGGGGGCTGATTTCGCTTTCAACAAACTATACAATGGGTACCCTCAAACAAGACGCGCCCGCGGAAACGCCGCATGAGCCTGCAATCCGCTCTTGTTGGAGTCGATCCATGTACTCGGATTGGGTCCATGGAAGGTTAAGGAGGGGAGAGTTGCACTGGCTGCTCATTGTTGAGGGAGGTGCGGGAAGCGGGTCAGCTTCACATTTTACGACATCATTTTTTCAGGCTTCCTAAGCTTCGTGATGGTTTCCTTTGACAAGACACAAGTCATCTTTTCCATTGTGGGGCAACAGAACCTCAGGTAAACCTTAGTTGGTGGTTTGGATTGGTGGCTTGGGAATTTGAATCCCAGCTTCCTGTAGAGGGTAAATGGGTAAATGGGGTTCACCCCTCCATTTCACCAATCCAAACCAATCTCCTAACCACAAGTTGGAGGGAAGCTGAGAATGATCCAACAACCAGTGAGTTAACCTTCCAATTGGTGGTTTGGATTACACTCCCTCAGACTAACGTGGAAGCTCCCTCAATTGGCCACTGTAAATGGAACCAAGTCTTCCAAAAAGGTCCTAGCTTCCATGCTGATGTGTGGGGGAGGGTGCTTTATCTTCAGTTTCTTGCGCCAGCTTGCCTCAGCGTCTGACCGCGACCGCGCGTCCGCGCAGTCGGCGTTCCCAAAACCCGAGGCGGCCACGGCTAGAGCTGCTGCCGCAGCAGCAGCCGAACGGCTAGGTGCCGGGAACTCGGAGACAGCAGAAGCGAGAGCAAGGCACCAAAACCCAAGGGTCTGTGGATTTTCTGAGAAGGTGCCCTTGTTTAATAGTTTTAAGGGGAAGCCGAAAGGAAAACTGGCATTGTTATTTTATTTATTATTATTATTATTTTTGGGGGTACCCTAAAAAAGACACCCGTTTGCAGACAAGTAGGCGCGCATATCCCAGTGCTCGCTTCATTTTAGGGGAATGTTCTGAGCCCTAGGCTCTGTTTGGCCCCAGCCGCTTTCTGAGCCCGGCGGGTTCACCCGAAGATCGTGAACCGTGAGAAGGGGATTCATTCCACTGAAACTGGTCATCCTTGACATGGGAGAAGTGGGTGTTTGTGAAAATAAGAGGGAACCCAACGATTGGTGGTCCTTGCGATGTCCCTTCCTCGCAAGTTTTGTCGTCAGCTGGATTCAAGCTGAGCAGCTCAGGTCACAACTTTCCTCCTCAACTGGCAGGAGCGCGGCGCTCTGTGCCTCTACTGCTTTGCCCTTGTGAGGTGAGTTGTCAAACATCTGGGCCCTTGGGAACCCGGGGTACATGTGTATATACATATATTCCCCCTGTTTTTTGATATGAATCTGCCATGTACACTTTCGGCCACTGGAACATATCACGGCAATAAACCTCTTCCTTCAGGGGTGTGTGTTTTTTAGGGTACCGTTTTGGGGGTTGGTGAAGGGGAAGCCAACAAGAAAGCCACCAGTTTGGGGGGATCCCCTATGTTGACACCTTTTTTAATAGCGTCGGGTTTTTTGGGGTCCCACCCTGGGTTGACGGCGGTTGATGATCCCGCAAGTGACGAAACCGCAGCACCTGAGGCTTCATAGCTTGACGGAGGACTTCTCACGGAATCTGAGAGGTGCGTCGTTGCGTCGTTCGGATGGGTGAAGCAGTCGACATGCACGTCCCCAAGCTAGCCGACCGCGATAGGGAGCGCCCTTCCAAAAGCAGAATCCACAACCATTTCATGTTCGGCTCCATGCGAAACATCATAACGCCAATGGCCCTATGGTCGAAAACTGCCTCGCAAGGTCGCCGTTTGATTTTCGACTCAGAGACCCTGTCCAACGCGGAGGCCGTGGCTGAATCAAAGTCGGAGCTTGTGATTTGGCACACACGTAGAGAAGGCAAGTGAAGTGGAGAGTATCTTGGCCCTGTGCTGTGTTGCTTGTGTCACTCATCGCATTCACTGCGGTTAAGTCGCGCTTGGTCAAACATTTGATCTGGGCGTGGTTCGCCATGCTCCACTTGTGTTTCCAGTGAAGGAAAGATGTGCACCGCAGCCCTTCTTGCATTCCATCAAACTTTCCATGGCGTTAGGTCCGAAGCAGTGATCTCAGACAAAAAATCAAAAAAATGCATTCAATTCTCTGGCGAGGTTGCCTTTGCAGTCGTTGCCGCAAGCTCAGCCTATCGGCGGATCATCCTGGGCGCTGTCTGGACTCATTGGCCACACGCCTCCTGGAAAAATCCGGTAAATCCTTTCTTACCCATAGGTCCAAACAGGGGTGTGTCATTTTTGAGGCTCCGTTCTCCCCTTTTTGGGTTTCCAAAAGGAGAACCAAACAGGAACAACCGAGGCGCCGTTTTAGGGCGCTCTCCCAAGAAAACAAGACGAGCCATCCACATCCTCCGTTCGAGGTGGAGTCTCTTGGAAGAGCGGTTTCAGCCAGCGTTTGGCCACGGCCCCGAGCTGATTTTCACGCACCTGCGGCCTTCGGCCTTCGACTCTATCCAACTGGTGGCTTGCGATGGCTTCACTTCCCCGAAACGGGATTTTCCCCATCACCTTTGGGTTGGTTTAGACCGGGTGTCCGAGGCATGTCCCTTTAAGGCCCTTTACAGGGAACCAGTTGCGATCATTTCAAGGGAAACCACTGGTGAATTGATCAACATGATCAACTGTTGAAGGGGAAATTCAGTGACCCCTGACTGCAAGGCTGGACTATAGGGCCACCTTCGGCTACGACAGGCTATTTGGACATGCCCTGCTCTCAGTGATGAATCGGCAAATGTCAGGTGTCATCATTTCATTCAAGGTATTCAAGACGTGTGTTTGTGTGTGTGTGTCTGTGTGTTTGTACATGTGTGTCTTTGCGAATGTATCATCTCATGAAACATGCACACCGAGCACAAGAGTCAAAGGGTTGGATCCGAAATCGTATCAAGCAATTGAGCGCAGTTTGTGTGTGTGTGTGCATGCTGACATGATGGTTCCCTGCAGCCCGCTTCCTTGCCATTTCCGGGTAAGAAAGGTCTTACATGCTGGCAGTCCCGAGCACAATCGGCTGTCACTATGCCTAGATTTGATCTGGCTTGGATGGTAAGGCAGCAGATCTGCCAAAAGGTGGATGTCCGCTTGCCATTCTCAGTTTGGGTGCCCTCCCAAAACAAGCACCATCCAAATTTCTGAACAAGCCATTTGGGGTTACTGTGCACGAACATGGAACCTGACGTTCCGGGGTCCTGAAAAACAAATCATTGTCCTTTTTCAGGGACCCTTTGAGAAGGTTCCATGTTAGTGAGGAGGGTCTTCTCAAATGGTCCCCTAAAAATCGGTTCATATAAGGTTTCATGTTAGTGAACAGGAGGGTCTTCTCAAATAGTTCTCCCCTAAAATCGGTTCATGTTCTTTTGGTGTTCTCAGCCGCCCGCCCAAACTGTGGTCCAGAGGTCCGTGGCACCGTGGATGTGGATTTGCCCGCGGCGGCGGGCTGAGACTTGGGAGGTGTCCATGTGCGTTGAAACGGTGGCTTCCAGCCATCCGTTTCCATAGGTGTTTTTTTGTGGTTGTTGGTTGGTTTGGTGGTTGGGTTTCTGAATGTTCCCCACAAACAGTGAATAGCACTTTGAGCGATCTGAGGACAGCCCAGGCTGGTGGGACAACCGCAAAACAAAATCCGAGTGCCCAAGAATTGGAGTTGAGGTTCCTTCAGTTGCTTCGCAAGGGATTCAACCTTTGTCACAGTGATTAGAGTATAGCGATTTCCCCTTGTTTGCCTTCATGTCAACGCAAGGTGCTTCCCTTGTGAGGAACAGCGCTGTATGCTGCTAGACTGTATTGCTGCGACCGAGTTGCCGATGGCGTTTGCACCTTCATCTAAATGCGCACATGAACTGGCACAAATGAATGACTTCACTGGCCCCTCGAATGCTTTACAAGTGGATGCGCAACATAAGCTGGCAAGGTTCCCTTGACGTTTGGGTCTGTCTTTTTGAGGAAACCCCAAACACAAGTGCGGTCCCCTTGGTTTCCCTTTCAAACCCAAAAAAGGAGCATCCCGCAAAAAAGAAACCCCCGATATCCCAAAGTTTGACGGGAACGTAAGGGGGACCCACGAACGAAACAATTTGACAGTGGCATCCGTTGTGCTGAGGATCACAAGCACGCGGCGGCGGTTAGGGCCTTGGAATGCTTCTCTCTGGTGTTAAGATGCCGTTTCGCTGGGCGCTAAGTAACCTATGATGGATCATGTCCCCAAAAAGAAGCCATAAGGGGAGTGTTACATGTATCACGTGTCCGGGCTTCTCATTTGCGCAGGTTTTATGTTGGTGTCTCTTCGCAACACCACTTAAAAACAAGTATATACGGTTTATGACCTCAAAAGCTCAAGACGACCCCGGGGCAAGCACCAGATCATCCCATGCCTAGGTGATTCGGAAGAAGCTCCAAATCGCCAGGGAGAATCCGGACTTCTGGTGCTGGAAGGCCAGGAGTTGGTCGAACGGGTGTGCCTTCTTTGGCAACCGGGGCACCCCAGCCTACAGAACCGAAGCCCCGCCCAAACCCACCCAAACTCTAAACCAAAGCTTCTGGTAACGCCAGGGTGTTGAAAAACGATGCTGGGGATGTTGACGGTGCTGGTGTGACCGGCGCATGTTGTTAACAAATGCTGTAAAACACATCGTTTTGGCAACTGCGGAACCTGTGGGGAAAAAAGGCCCGCGAACAACTCCTCCGCCGCCACCCACCCTTCGTTTTGCTTCCCCCCCCCCCCCCCAGCATTTGAGAGTTGATTCTTTTGATCCTGGAATCCTGTATTGTTTGATCCTCTACCCTGTTGCTTGCTTGTTTGCCTGCTTGCACCTTGGTTTGGTCGCTTTCTTGCTTGTATGCTTGTTTGTTTGGGTATTTGCTTGTGTGAGTGTTTTCTTGGCTGCGTGCGCGCTTTTTACTGACTTACTTGATTGCTTACTTTGCTTTGCTTTGCTTTGCTTTGCTTGCTTGCTTGTTACTGGCCTGCTTGGTCTTTTGCTTGTTTGCTTGCTTGTTACTGGATTGCTTGGTCTTTTTCTTGCTGGCTGGCTTGTTTGTTTGGTTGCTTGCCATTTCGTTACTGGCTTGCTTGTTTCCTTGAGTTTGTTTGTTTTTGTGTGTTTGCTTGCTTTGCTTTGCTTTGCTTTGCTTTGCTTTGCTTTGCTTGCTTGCTTGCTTGCTTGCTTGCTTGCTTGCTTTGTTTTGCTTTGCTTTGCTTTGCTTTGCTTTGCTTTGCTTTGCTTTGCTTTGCTTTTCTTTTCTTTGCTTTGCTTTGCTTTGCTTTGCTTTGCTTTGCTTTGCTTGCTTGCTTGCTTGTTTGCTTAGTTGCTTGCTTGCTTGCTTAGTTGCTTGCTTGCTTGCTTGCTTGGTGGTTGGTTGGTTGGTTGGTGGGTGGGTGGGTGGGTAGGTGGGTATAGGGGTTGGTTGGTTGTGTGGTCGTGTGTTGGTCGGTTGGCTTGGCTTGGCTTGGTTTGGTTTGGTTTGGTTTGGTTTGGTTTGGTTTGGTTTGGTTTGGTTGGTTGTTTGACTGACTGGTTTGCTTTTGTGTGTGTGTGTGTATGTGTCCGATCAGGTTTTTCGTTGAATCCAAGCCAAAATGTTTCGCAAGCTTTCGCCATGCGGAGGCGCAGCAAATGAAGAGCTGCCCGGTTGAGCACTCCGACTGCAAGCTGGCCGGGTGACAGGGGAAGCCGCCAAAGGATTCGTCCCCGCCCTTCAAAATCAAATTGGGGGCATTGGGCGGGGGGGGGGCCGACGCCCCACCAACCCAAACCCGCGGATTTGTAGAAGCATGTCAGCCAAGTTTGCGCCCAAACCAAACCAATGCCAAATGGCCATCCCAATCAACTACAAAGCTGCCAGATCCATCCAACCCCGGCCCGCAATTGAGCCTGGAGGACCGCACACCCGTGCCGACTCGGCGTTTCATGTGGCGGACCTTGGAGCCACCCCGCCTTCACCAGCCAATCCTTGGAAGTTGCCACATCCGCTAAAGGAGCGTGCGCCCTTGCTAAGAAAAGGTTGGCAATGGAAACTGACCTGGTTGGATTTATTGGGGGGGGTCTCCTCAACATCTCAACATGGATCTGACTTTCAATTGGGCACCCTTTTGGGCATCATTTTCCTCGGGTTTGTGTCCAGCCATTTTGGTGGGGCTTCCCCGTTCATTTCCTCGCAGACAAATCGGGGGATTCCTTGGGGAGGCGAGGGGACTGAACTGATCCAAGGCCCAGCGCTGAGATTATCCTCAGCTCCTGGCTGGAGGAGCGGCGATTGGATTTCTTGCTGCCGCCAAATGCTTGCGATCGCTGCGAGCTCGACGCAGGGAAGGAGAAATGGCTCATGACCCCGAGATGAACCCTCCCACTGGTGGTTTCCTTGATTCGGGACCCCAAAACGGTTCGTTCGGTTCGTCTCATTCCCTACTTCTCGCACCAGCAAGAAAAGGGGACGAGGAAAAGGCACGGAGCTGAAGTCAGGTCTCCTTGAGGTGCTCCCGCAGATTCTTTCCGATTTGGCCAAGTCCCCGGCGTTTCCGAAGCGGTTTTTGCGGTTCTGTGAGCCTAAAAGTTCCAAGGTTGCTAAACAGCCCAGATGCAAAAACGCATGTTCTCGAAAGGAGGCCGCAAGTGGTGTTTGAAAATTCCTCCGAAGGATGGGACATGTTTGTTCTTTTCCAGACCAGCTTTTTGTTTTGTACTTTGTGAGGGCCCGGGAATAGGTTAACTACATGATCCCTGGGATAGGGGGGGCTGCAAGGGGGGATTCAAGATTCCAGACCACCCCCCCCCCGGCAACTTGTGGGGGCTGCCCAAGTTCTGTTGGACATCTGAAAAGGAACAGACGCACTGTTCGCCATTTGAGGTTCGGTCAAACCCCCCGTCAGGGAAGTCACATGGGGACTCACCAGATTTCAACCACTGCCAGGGACACTCACGAATTAAGCACGAGCCCAAACTGTTCCCATGTACATTCAATGTGTTTGTTGGTGAAATGAGTACCACCCCTGGATTCGGTCAAGGCCCGCTGTCCACCCAAAAGGCCCATTTCGAGCCGGGTCTCCAGTCTCCGACTGTTGGCCAGGCGGCAGACTTGAAGAAGGTCTCTTTTGGCTCAGCACCTGCAGGAGCAGGCAAGGTGGAAACGGCGGACAGGGGGTCACTTTATGGCTTTGATTCCAAGGAATGCCATCCCGAACGGCTAGTGGATACAAACCTTCACCTAAGTGACGTCCACTCCCACATGCATTCCCTTTTGGGTGGAATTAGACAACACCTGTTTGGCCCATTTAAGGGGAATTTCTCTTGGTACCCTCCCTCAGTGGGATTTTACAGGGACCGTACAAGTCAGTCACCCTGACTCAACCAACGAGTTTGTTTTCCGTGGCGAGATGTTCCTCAGACTTTCATGCTGGCAATCTTAAAGATGAAACGCGTACTTTGAATTCGCTGTGAGTGTTGTGCTCCGAGCCGCTGCCTACGAACTGTGAAAGCCCTGACACGCATCACCCTTGGTTGAAGCCTTTTAGCCTCGCAATGTGCCAGGATCTACCGGAATCTACCTGTATTGTGTTGTTTAAGCTCTTCTTGGAAGAGATTGATGTTCTTAAACAACGGATTCATGGTGGCCTGCCATTTCTCATGGCTGCTGGATCCCTATGTTGAGTGTGGATCGAGCATTCCAAGCGCCTCGTTCGAAGGGCGCCAACAGCTCGCTGGGTTGGGCCAGGGCCAACCTGAGAATGGCCAGCCGGGGCATGGCACCAGAACATGCCCGAATACCGCAAGAAACAACAAGCACACCCACGGACACACACATATATAGAAATATATGTATAAACAAATATGCATATATATATATATATCATATATATATGTATATGTGTGTATATATGCATACATGCACATATTGTTACACGTTAAGTTTTCGAATAGAAGCAATACCGACCGGAGTTTTCCGCACTCACCCGACGCAGGCATTGGATGTAGTTTGTGGCAGTGGTGGGCGCACAATCCAGAGGCACGGCGCAACCCAAAACCTGCGGTCGCTGTAGTAGCTGGTTCGGTTCCCTGATGTGATGGGGTTAAAGCGCGCAGGGCCCAGGTGTGACAATGGCTTGCAGGGCTGCAGGCGCTGCCCAACTACGTCTAAATCCTAAACCCAGAGAAAGACAGAGACAGAGACAGAGAGAGTGAGTGAGAGAGGGAGTGAGAGAGGGAGAGAGAGAGGGAGAGAGAGATGTGCTGCGTTTTGGCTCATAAGATTGATTAACTTGGTAACCTTGAAAGCAAGGTGCGAGCCTTTTCCTTTGCTCACCAAATCATGAACAAGATTGCTTTGCATGGCCAGCCGGCCCCCAACTGGCTACTGGGTGCTTCAGGGGCCTCATACTCCAAGGTGTCCCGTCTTGAGGGGATGTGTAAGTTGGCTCAAGCATTCACCCACATGGTAGTCCTCAGCAAACTGAAGATTGGCTATGGTCTATGTCCACGATGTCAGGCCATAGCTTGGACCCCTCCCCCACCCATCTCCAGAACTGAGGGCTACCTAAAACTGCTTCATCCACTTGCGGAAGGTCCAAGCCAGTGCCAGGCAAAATTTGGAAAAAGAGCCAGCCGCCTAGCGCCCTTGAAAGAAAGCAAACACGCCGAGCAAGCCGAGCAAGCCAGCCAGCCAGCAAAGGGGAACAAGGGGTTGTTTGAACTACTTGCTGTTGAAGCATAGGCAGAAACAGACAGACTTCCATATGGCTATGGGTCAAAAGCCCGTACCCCCAGTGAACGTCCCAATCCCCACCAGAATTGACTAGAATGGGCGGTGCACCTACCCCACCATTGGTTTTGACCCACAGCCAGAAATGAAAATGGATGTTGGACCCCAGCCCTGGTCCATCGCAGGCTCGACGCCGCGCCGGCGGAGGTGGTGCCATTGGAGCAGATGGGCGCGGATGCCTTGCACTCAGATCTGGGCTGACCCTTCTTCCACACAGGTCCCAGATATGTCCCCCGCCTCGGTGGTTTTACACATCACCTGAGTTTTCTTTGGGATCGGGGTAATGTTTGAGGAACATGTAGAGAACTCTGTTTCTTAAAAGTCAAAAAATAGAAGTGGACAAGAAGCAGTTGGCGAACTGCTTTCCTTTTCAAACTCCACTTGTCCATTTTCATGATTGTTTGGAAAGATGGTGTGCCTCAGCATATCCAAGGCCCCTCCTTGGTGGTCCTTCTGCCCCACGGGGACGGGGTGCAAGTGCAGGCTGGAAGTCGAGACGACTTGGAGCGACCGTAAGTGCGCCTTGTTTGGGGCTGGCCCTGGCCCGTCTGATCTTGCAACGCCGAAAGCCAACCATTTTGGGTCCCCTGATTTTGAGTCAAACCCGAGTCTCGTGTTTGTTTTTTTCTGAATTGTGAGTCCGTTGCGCGGTGCTCTTTGGGCGAATAGGCCCTGCTGCCGCCGGGAGCCGCGGCGAAGCTTTGTGCAAAGCACAAGTGCTTGGTCTACTATCCGTGAGGCGTGCAAGGCGTGAAGCAGTGTGGGTCCAATCCAAACGGATGGGCCAGTGAGATGGAAAAAGCATTTTTTGCAATGTGCTACTGCTTTGGAGAAATCGCCGAACACTTATCCATGCCCACTCATTTCTTCAAGAGAAATACCATAGGATCCCGAGATACTGAACGCCTGACATGGTCGAGCGAGAGAGAGGTGCCTGAGAGGAGCCGCAAGAACCCAGTAGCGCCGCACCGTCAGGCTGTCAGGTAGGAGACTTAGAAACGCGCAAAGTGAAATGCCGCCATCCAGCAAGCCTGTTGTTGTTCAGGTGCGAAACAAACCAGAGAAGAGAGCGAGAGAGAGAGAGAGAGAGAGAGAGTGAGAGGAAAAATAAAAATGAAAATTGAAAAAACCGGTAATTGGGGCAAGAAAGCAAGCAAGCAAGCAGCAAAGAAATAAAGAAAGAAGAAATACATAGACAGAAGAGAGAGAGAGAGAGAGAGAGAGAGAAAAAAACAAAAGGATATATTTTGTTTCCCTCAGCCCCAAAAAGGGGGGAGGGCCACGACACATACCCAGCGAAGCGGACTCAAGCCATGGCCGCCCGGTGGAAGGCGAGCGGCTTGCTAAAACTTCCCTCGGTAGGTCCGTTTTTGAGGCCACGTTTCGGTGTTTTGGTGGGGTAGAGGAAAGGGAAAAGGAAAACCGGTGCCTCTTTTTTCTTTGTTGGGGGGGGGGGCCTTGAGAAAAGGACACACCCAAAGAACCGAAGCCATGTGGGGGGGGGGGCCTAACAAAAGAGCACACCCAAAGACAGCTTCGAACCCCTCGAGTGAATTCAATGTTTGGATGGGACATATCACGCCGTGGAGGAAGTGTCAGTTGTGGGGGGGGAGAAAGTGGGGCATTGTAGACAACGTTGACTTTCATGTTATTTTCATGACTATTTCAAGTTATCATCACCCAAAACCCCTCTTGGGTTCTACCACTTTGCTTACTCGGTTCTCGCAAGCCCTGTATAAACCTTTAGACGCATCTTGGTGCAAACACACATCGACGCGTTTTGGGCACTGCACGGGTCGGAGATCGGATCGGCCAATCCAAAGTCAAGAAGACGGCCCTTTCGATCTCTGACTGGGTCCCTTGTAGCTGCATTTTGCGGGTTCTCAACAACTACTTTTGGGATGGCATCGCGACCAAAACCAGCATTGAGAGGATAATTCTGAAACTGCCATGTTCATGCTGTTCAGATTCAGTACAAGCTGGTGTGAACATTCGGAGGTGCGCAGTTGATCATCGGCCGAATTGGTATTCATCTGAATGACCCAAAAAGACCCTGTATCCGCATGAATCCATGTGAACAAGGCGTGGCTCGGCGGCGCCCGCCTGACACTCTCAACACTTGCTGGCACGCTCAACACTTGCAGAGTCAGAAACCCGCAAAGACCGGTTGTTGTTGTTGTTTTTTTTTCAAAAAGCATTGAAATGTGTTTAAATATGCATATGTATATATATATATATAGTGTAGCAACATGAAAGAACTCTTTAACTCTAAGACCACCGATAGCTCCCAGGCAGCAAAGGTGAAGATCGATGCGGTCTACCGTATGTCCCACAACGGCCATGCCGGGGCGCGAAGCGATGCCTTGCTTAGATCCTAATGACCCTCGAAATGCGGACGGGGGGTGTTGTTGCTCTCCGCTGAAAGCCCCTTCAAAAAAGAAGAGGGCTCCTCCGCGTGTCGGGACATTGCTTGCAGAAAAGGTAATGGTAGTATGTTACGTCTTTGCCCTTGACAAGAATGATGAACAATGAAAAGACTCAAATCCTATGTGTGGTGTTGGCGTTGACCAAGGTAAAAGTGTGAGAGTTGTGAGTGTCTCGAGCTGAGGTCGTGTTGACCGGCCTGCCGGACGGCGTCGTTACTGCGTTGACCCCAGGCTCATGCGACGTGCTTTGTTTGGAGCTCCCCACTATGGACATTGGGGGCGCCAAGCCAGTGATGCTGAAACCCCGGCTGAATAGGAAGCCAACGAGCCCCACTGGACGCTAATATCATGGGTTTGCGCTTGCAGGATCATGACAATCAAAACATGTGTTCTTTCATGATGTCCGCCAAAGGCACATGTTCAAATTGACAAACAGGGATGTCCTTGTTCCAAGCACTTTGGAGGATCCTGCCATTTCAATGTTTCTTCCTGGTCCTCAGCAGGAATTCAAGTTTTGTGGTTTTGGGAATACACCCTTTGGGAGCATAAAGGTAACCACCCTCAGGATCTGGGGTCAGATCTGCACCAGGTCGACACCCATGAAGACCTCGATGCCGGAGAGCTGGAGGTGTCGAATCGATTGAGTGGGAAGACGTGACTGGGGGTCGTGACGGCGACTTTGTTGGGTTACCCTTCCTCCCACATGGCTGTGGGTCAACAGCAATGGGATCCCATTTTGGGGTCAGAACGCGCTTGGCCACCAAAACGGCACTAAATGGGTAGCATTTGTGGGAGGGCAGTTTCCTCTTTAAGGGACCTTCTGTCAGCTGGGATTTTTGTCAAAGTCAGCGGCGCGTTGGCGCCAGGAAGTCACCCGTCACCCGAGGCATTGGTTTCGCTTGCAGATTTCAAAAACGCCGTTTCCAAAAGGGCACGCATCCAACAAAAGGTAGTTTCCCAGGAGGGCCCAGGTCTGGTGGTCTGGTCGAAACATCAGAAGGTGTCTATGTGTTGTTTTTCTTCTCACGGGATGCAATAGCCGGCTTTCCTGATGTTGGGAAACCACAACCTGAGTCAACGACCTGGCCTTGGTTGGGTAGACTCCTGTACGAAGTTTTGACTATGGCTCCCTAGTCGTGTGTTTCGTTGAGGGTACTCCTTTGGGGCATTCTAGGGCGTGCCCTCATTCGGACACACACTCTGGACCTTCTTTTTGTGGTCGGGCGACTGGCAGATGGCGGATGGCCGTTTCTCAATCAGCCCCCTTGCCATACTACCCTGCCAATTATGACGGAGCTCAAAAAGAGGGTCCCCCAAAAGGAGGCTGCTCTAAGAAACGGGTTCACATGGTGTTTTATGTGAATCTGTAGGAGCTGCCCTTTTGATTCTGTGCATGGGTTTTGAGCGCCCTTTGGTGGACGTCATTTGCATGGGGATGCATGTCCACCCATTTCTCCGGCTGCTCCCCGAGATGAATGATTCATTTTAAACGAGTTGGGGTGAATACGGCGGTTTTCCTTTTGGCTTCCCTTGAAGAGGGTTTCCTTGTGGCTTCCTTTTGGTTTTCCTAGCGGGGTACCCCTAGAGGGCATAGGTGTCCTTTTGGCTGTTTTGGTCGAAAAATAGAGGGCGATTCCTGGTTTACTTGGTGGTTTTTGCTCATCTACCTGCCCTAAAAGGACATGCCAGAGGCTGCGAAACGCACCCAGCGTCGCGCAGGACGAGAAGTTCCAAGAGCAGCCCTTCCTCAAACGAGCCTCCACGAAGCACTCGCACAGAGCACCGGCCCGGGCCTCCAGGCCTCGTCACGCCCATGTGTTGAGTTACCTGGGGCTTGAATCCAAGGGAAACTTCCATTTGGTGAAGAAGGTTTTTTGTTTTTTCCCCCTCTTGCCTTTTTAAGGGGAATCTATCACTACCCGAAATATGTTTGTTTATTTTTTTTTCAGGGGACTTAAGCAAAGGGAGGAAAAGCGTGACTTTGAGTCTGGGCAATCAAGGATGGGAACCCTGCTCGCCCGCCTTTTTCTCTTTTCTGGCGAATCGCCCTTTGAGGATCCGCGGCCGTTCCTGCCCGCAGCAGCAGCCTCCTGAGCGTGCGATGCTTCAGGAGGAAACCCTCGGAGGGTTCTTCGGGTACAACTGCCAGGGGATGATTCCTTGTCCATTCTTTTCAGCCATCGTTCTTTCCAAAAACCGGATCCGTTCTCCCTGGGTTCCCCGAGTTTTTCTAGAAAGATTCGGATCCCTGGAAAGAATGGAAATGGAAGGTGCCTCTAGAAGAACTCCTGACGCGCGAGGTGGCATCCATTGTGATCGGAGTTGCCTCGGTGGTGCCATACAACATGGTCAGTGCCTCAGACGGAGTCAGAGAATGGGAACGGAATACTGGATTACTCAGCCCGAAGTTGATGAATGGGATGTCAAATGTACAAGAGGGAACTCCGGATCACGCCCTCTTAGTCATCCATGTGCAGCAGAATATGTTCTCTTTTGCCTTGCTGGTTTTCAAGGGGACCTATCACCCCTGGATCTAAGTCAAAAGTGGAGTACTTCCATTTGCTGAAGCTTCTGGGAAAATCAAGATATGGCTGTGGCTCCAAAAACTGGTACCAAAATGGCACCTTGGTAAATGGAACCAAAGACAAAAACCAGCGTAACCCCAGGTCTTTACTCTTGAGCCATACCCATATGCCCAGTGCGAGATCCGAGCGAAGAGATCCGCAGGTGATCCGCGGCGACCCGGGCTCACCTCTCTTCATCAGCTTCTTTCTGCCGCTCACCCAACTGCAAGCGCTGAACATAGGTGTCCTTTTTAGGCTAGTTTGATGAAAAACAGATGGCACTGGTTTAGGAGGGGGTTCTTCCATTTACCAGGGAAACCCTTCTATTCTTCCAAAAGGCCACCTATGGCACTGAAGCGGGTGTTGACCCCAGCCCAGTTGATTGCCCAATAAAACTCCTGCCCGATGTGGTCAGGGGTATGCGACAGGGAACTGTGCGTGTTCACTGTAAGGCACTTAGCCATCATTTCCCGCAGCCTCCCTCATGCTGCCACGCTGATGCGGGAGAGCAGTGACCCATAGCCGGAGTCATTGCGTGAATTTGCGTTGGAAGTGGCGCTGTGATTTCTGGATTTCAGAATTCGGTTGCGGCAGGTATTCCTTGGCGCTACCACGCCGGTGTCTGAGTGCCAGGGCATTCTCGGCCCCCAATGCCACAGAGAACGTGAGAGATTGGTTGTCCAGTCCCGTGATTTGTGGGGTCCCTACATTTCCCTTTATTTAGGCATTGAAAAAAAGGCTCAGCACTTATTCACCATACTTCGCCACTTGCTCACCGATCGTTGGCGATTGTTGCGCAGGCTGCGATTGTCCTTTGCGGCTGCGCCTTTGTGAACTTCAAGTCTGATGCGCCTCGGATCTGAACAGCCAGGTCTTTCAGCTCTGGAAGCACCTGAACTCGCTTCTTGCGTTCATGGACTTGAAGCTTTTTGGGAAGACAAAGTTAGTGGTGAATAAACAGTTTGGACTTCGTTTGGCCAGTCCACTCAGGAAGTGAGTAAAGGGCGGTTCGGTCAAAATGTCCAGCAGCCTACGCTTATTTCGGGACGGACGTACGGGGCACGCACCCACACTCACTGAGTTTGTCCATGTTCTGGACAGGAACCGCTTTTTTTTTACAGTAGCTCATGTGTCCTGATTGTTCCACTACCAACTGAGTAATTCCAGAACACGGGAACCAAGTTGCGAACTCGAATGAATGCAATACTGCACGCGTCCTTTAGTACAGGCAGATAAGGTTGCAACAGTGTTTCTCAATTGAAGATCCTGATGGTAGTGGATATTATTGGAGCCTGCAATGCAATTGTTTGACCGAAGGCCTAAGCGTTTTGTCCTTGAACTGGTATACAGACGTGCCTTTTTCTGTTTTAAGGGATAACGTCAGACTTTTGACGGGGAGTCTGTGCCTACCGGCGGTGTGTAGACCGAAGAAAGAGGGGCGGCCAGCGGAGAACGGCGACGTGGCAGAGGTGACATGCAGAGGGCCTCTCGAGCCCCAAGAGGGTTGAATAAGATGCAGAACTTCCAACGGGTTTTGGGGAAGCTTGGGCACCGTGGGTATGTGTCCAAATAGGTGGAACCCCAACATGTTTGTGTTTTTCCTAGTTGTCCTTGAACCCATTCCTCAAACAAAAATAAGAAACAAAAAGGCCCACAGCATCCTAGGCATACGTCCGTCTTCCGGCCTCGGTGTGCATGATGCTGTCGAATCTGCGCATGATGGCTTGACCCTCAAATGGAAGCTGCTCGATGATTGCCACCTGGCTGCGGGTCAAAATAGGTACCCAAAATGGAACCCTGGTAAATGGAAACGTGGACTAAAACCTGCGGTCCCCTGGTGGTTTAATTTTGACCCATGCCCACCTAGCCTTTTGTGCTCGAAATTCTGTCTAAGGTCGGCGTTGTGGTTCAGTATGCTCCTCAGATTGATTTAGATATGAAATTCAGCTGTAGCATACGTCGAGGTATGCAATCTTCCGGAAGAAATACTCCTTGTCGCAGCTGTTCGGAGTGTTGGTTGTGACGGCCAGGCCCTTGGTCATGTCAAGCGTGTCTCAAGTGCATTGCTTCAAAAGCCAAGGCCGGAATTGCGTGGGCGAGCGACGCAGCTCGATTGCAGCTTGCAGACATTCGCCTCAATCACTTTTTCCAGACTTGAATCAGGCACACGCTTCGTGATAATTCGTGACAACTAGTCAGTGGATGTCAGTGGTCGCGAATCCCACTTAAACTGTCGCGTAAGGGGCAACCACGTTCCACAACAATAACACCACATCCACCAAATCCCCCCACAAGAAAAAGCACGGATTCTGTCCCTTGCCTTGTAGACTGAGTCCCCCCACTGAGGCCATGCAGCGAGCACGGGCGGGCAACGCCACGCAGTGGTAGCCCAAGCTGAGAGCAGTTGGGAGCAACCGTCGTCTTGAGTGCATTTGGGATGCTACCACGAGTCCGATGTTGGGGCACGCTTACGTGGCTCAAATGCGTCCGGCGCGCGTGGCCGTGTCCTTCCAGTCCATTTTTGTTCCGGGTTCCAGCTTGCACCATGAGTTTGTTAGATTCCACTCAACGGGTCAAAGGGGGAGAAAAAGCCGACGACCGCCTCGAGGTCGGTGGAGGCATCCAGCGACTTTATGGCCCTGCGCTCACCTCGCTCAGGGAAAACACCCTCAACTGGCTGGTTTTGGAGAACGAGCAACTGAGCAGGGTTGCGGTATTTTGCCACAAAGCAACGAGGAAACGAGGCAAAGCGAAGAGGAGTCCATGCACCAGCCAATTGATAAAATGATTGGTGGGCACAAATACTCACGTAAACCCCCCGTGTAAACGAACATAGAACCCACCAGAAGGTCCCCAGAGGAAAATGGAATCCAGGACCCCCCGGTCGGGTGTGGATATATTCAATAAAAATATGTTTGTACATGGTGCAGCGTCCCCCTCGCACCACCCCCCACCCCTTGAATATACTGTCTCTATATATATATATATATATATATGTAGATATAATGGTATCCACAGGATCTTCCAAGGACCTAGCTAAGAAGCTTCTTCTGGCCTAGGTGGGATGCGTGGAAGTGCTTATCTCTTCCGTGTCCCTAGCTTTCATGAGCCGGGCATCTCGGGCAGGGATTTGGAGTCCGTGCTGTTCTTCCGGTGCGATAAGTAGGGAATGTCCCTTCGGGTTGTGGGGGAGTGACGGTTTTGGGGTTTCCCTTAAAGGAAGCCATAGGGGAGTGTTTATGGGGTCATTCCCTCATTCCCTGCTGAGAACCAGCAAGTACCACATGGTACTACCGAATGAGCAAGCCTCCCATGTATGGGTTGAACTTGAAAAGGGCCCCGAGCCTCAAGAAGGCACAGCCGTCAGATTGAAAAAACACGTCCAAAGGTCGATTGATGCTTGCCTTCCCAGGGGCCCCGTTTCGGTTCAAGGGAAACCGACCAGAAGCCAAAACGGTGTTGTGCCGCAGTTTCGGGCAGAGTCACATGGGTCCACGCAGTCAAAAACCTGGGTTTCTTGGGGTGGCTCCTGGACCACACTCTAGGGATTGATTCCTGGTCCATTCTTTTCAACCATCGTTCTTCTCAAAAACCAGCTGCTTCCCCAGGGCTGTTTGGCTCTTCTTTTTGGAAAGAAGGATCCCTGGAAAGAATGGAAATGGAAGGTACCACACGGGGAACACTCCACAGAGTTCCTGAGGAAGCCACAGCCATGGCGGTTTTTTTGCCTCGAATCAGGCGCTGCGATCAAGATTGCCTTCGAGAAGCTCCAACCTCGGGCGAGTGCTTGCGTGTCTCCGAAAATAACGGCGGCTCGTCTCTTTAAGGAAGCCCCCCTACATCCCCCAGTAGTGCCCTTTTACAGTTTCTTTTTTGGGGGAGGGTTCCCCTACCAAAATAGACTACAGACAAAAGAGTACCCTTATTCTGACCTCTGTACAGGACCAAGCCCGTGTTGATTGGTTTTAAGGGGCAACCAAAAGGGAGGGGGGTTCAGCCAAAAAAATGATACACCCAAATGGATGGTCACCCCAGTTTCCCAGGACTCCCCAACCACAAGGGTCCTTGGAAAACAGGCACACCCATACGCCGTTTGGTGTGGCGAGCTGGCCTGGGGGTAAAACGAGCTCACCATGAGATAGGCTTGCCAGCATCCCAGATTTTTGGTATGCCGGAAACAATACAGGTTGGGGTTTTGATCGTAGAAGCCGGAGTATGTTTTTTGCCCATGCTGATCGCCTTTCGCGCTTTCTTTCGCATGTTGCCAGGTTCGGTGAGAACGTCGAAGAGCAAATCTTCGTTCAGCTGCCTGGACCGCATTTAGGGCTACCGTTTCAGATCATTTGGACGGCTCGCCCTTTTTTTTTTTCGGAATCGGACCCTCAAAATGGCGTCGTTTTTCCTTGTGGTGGCCGTTAAGCAACTTGAAGGAGCGACACCTAGTACAAGTGGTGTGGCGTGTGCGCTTTGCTGTTTATTCGCTTTGGTTCTTGAGGTTCTTTGACGGAAAATCAGCAGCACCCGCTCCAGAGGTTGCCCAAATCGAGCCACGCCCAATTCGGGGGAGCCCAGGCACCTTTGTGGGCTCTTTATCGCCGGAGCCTCCGGATGTTAGCCGATTCACATGGGTCACTGACAATCTGGCTACCAGTAATTGGTGGTTTGGATTGGTGGGTTGGGGATTGAACCCTGGTTCCTGTAGAGCGTAAATGGGCCACTGCCTCTGTCAATCCAAGCCACCAATTAGAGGGAAGCTGAAACACTGATCAGCCTTTGCAGTCCAAGAGTCCTTCGTGCCCAATGTGATTAGCGCTCTGGTTTGTTCCTTTCTCCATCTGCCGAGAGCGCGCTGCGGACATTGTTGGCAGAGTCTCGAGTTTTGACTATCGCGAGGAAAACTGAAACCCAGCGATTGATTTCCACAACAGGGGGATACTTGTGGGTTCAAGTCTACCTTGGGGTGGTCAGTGAATGAACGCAACAACCACCAACTTGCTTTTAGGGGATCCTTCAAGAATGATGATGGTCCTTTTGGTGTCCCTTCAAGCCAACCCAACAGAGGAACCCTCGAAAAAAGAGAAACCCCGACACTTTTTTGGGGGAAGCCGGTATTTCTGTCCGTTCACGTCAGACGTCTGCATGGGACGGGCTGAGGTATTCCCAGCGCAATGGGACAAGGTAGGCCCGCGCGTGCACGATTGGTTTCAGCGGCACGGCGCCCCAGAAATGGCTTCGGTTCCTTTGGGGGAATTTGATGATGGTGGAGTTTGGCTTTCCTTTCAGGCCAAATATACATATATATATATATATACATATGTATACATATGTATACATGTTTACATACGTTATACACACACGTCGTATACATATCATATAGTATATAGACACCCATTGATATACTATGTATGTATTATAAATATGTATATATATATATACACATCTCAATGCCTGGGAGGTGCCCTCAGAACAAGACACCCAGAAGGCCCCACTTTGAAATGGCGGCACTGAAAGGGCTGACTCGAGGTCGGATTGGTGGCTCATTCTCAACCTGGTGATGAGTGTCAGGGACTCGGTGCCGGTTGCCGAAATGGGAAAAGGGGAGCAATCAAAAGCAGGTGAGTGTTTCTTCTGGTTAAGCACTTGGTGTTGGATGGTTTGCCATGTGTTGTGCTAGAAACAACAAATGCGCGTTGTATGACTGGGCTCACTGCAGTAAATTTCAGAGCTAGCAGTAAGAAAATATGTCCATGTAAAATCCATCCCCCCTTTGTGATTGGAAGACTAGATAGGGGCATCCTGTTTTAGAAGCCTGTTTGGACTCCCTACCCCTTGCTGTTGGTGCAAAAAAGCTGTAGGCTCGAAGGAACAGGGTCCCCCCATCAAAAAATCGGGCGTGGCTCGAAATTTTAAGCCGGAGGGGCAAACCGCAGGTCTTGGTTTCCAGATTTCCACTTACCAGGGCAAGCCATTTTGGTACGAGTCCCGGTTGTTTTTGAGCCACAGTCAATTGGGTTGCTTGGAGGAAAACTTTGCGCGCTTCTCGAGGTGTGCTCCACCTTTGCAGCGCGCAGCGCAGCCGCAGGGCGCCTGAGTGTGCCTGCTTTCGTGGGGGGGTGGGGGGGGGTTTGAGGAGATCGAAACTAGGTCCCCCGGCTAGGTGCCCCACCTCTCACCGATTTGTTTTGGGTTGGGAGGGTTCCAAACTACTAAAATAGACTACGGAAGAAAGGGGCACCCTTATTCTAACCTCTCTACTGGAGGACCTAGAAAAGGAAGAACTTTGGTTGTGGGGGGTGCTGCACCATGTCAAAGAAAATATGGGGCATGCGCAGATTCCAGTTCGGAAAGGTGGGCACATGCCACATTGGCTCCTAAAGAGTCTGTGCCTATGGGAGACCCCAAAGCTTCCAGTTGTTGGTTGAAGACTGCTTGTGCTAGTGAAATGGGTCGCTTGCATTACTGGACTTTTTCTTTGGGCAGCCAACAAGTGCATGCCAATGTTGAATCAGTGGCATGCTCCATTCAGGAGGATCAGCTGTCTTTCTTCGGACAGAAAGGGCCATCATGCTTGATTTGTCGATTGCGCCCTTGCCAGCTTGCAGGGATCCTTACTATCAATCACTCTTTCATACTCCAGAACCCGGTGTGAACCCCCCCAAAAAAAAAAAAATAGAAGAAAAAAGTCAGCTGGCCAGGGAAAGGATTAGCTTCCCTCCCCCAAGGACTTCCTTGCACCCGCAACAAAACGCCGTTTTGGACATCCCTTCAAGACATGTCCCCATGCTAAAACTTCAGAGGCGCAGATGGCTGGACGCTCGCCAAGCCTGCCGGAGCCTCCAGACCACGAACCGATGCGCTGTTTTTGTTCCGACGCCCCTTTTGGGGCGCCGAAAAAAAAGAAAAGGAAGAAAGCCTACAAGGGAAACCACCCATCGGGTGCTTTTTTGGAGTCAAAGCCAAAGCCATGCGGAAGTCATTGCAGCAATTGTCTTGACTTGTGAACGCGTGATGGACGCTCCATGCGGATGGCTGTTCCTTGATGTCTTGCAGAACTGTGTCACCTGCTTCCCTCCCTGAGGCTCATGACGCAACTAGCTGCGCACCCAGAGTGATCTGACAAGCCTCGGCCTTTAAGGGGCACTTGCAGGGTCATGTGAGATGTGCGAATTGTGTCCTGGGTGTGTGTTTAGCCAAAGAAGCAGAACAAAACCTATGTGTCAGTCGCAAGGCCTCAGCGTCTGAGAAGCAGAAGATGGGATTCCGACGCAGTCCTTGCATTTTGTGGAGGTTCCGCAAAGCATGATTATTGCAGGGGTCTGTTTCTGGGTCTGTTTGATGCGTTTGTATCCAATTTGCGAGGGCTTGCGTGGTCTGAACATGTGCAGAGAGCAGAAGCAAGCAAAGCGCATCAGCCCCGATGTCATGGTACACCTCCTGCGTGACATATCCACGCACGAAGGCAACTGCACCTCTCAACTCGTCAAAGACAGGAGCGGCTATGACTTTAATGGGGGAAGCCTCAAGAGTAGTTGGCCTGTGGATGTAGAGATCCATCTCCTCCCGTCGAACCCTCCAGGTGCAGACGATGGAATGCTTCTTGCAACTCTTAGTGGTGGCCATGATGCGGGTGCCGTGCTTTCCTCAGACGTCAAGTGCTCGCCTTTTGTTCCATAAGGTTTGATATGGAATCGGTCAGCAGTATACCACAGGGGGTGCACGCTGCCTTGCAAGGGCCGAGCATCTCAGATTGGTGGGAATTGGAAATGCGTAAGCCTCCATACAAATGTAGATCGGTGTTTTTGTGGCCCAATTCTTAGGACTCCCGAAAAACTTGCAAATCAAAGAAAGTCCTCCATGCAAACTTAGATGGGTGGTTTTGCAGCCTCCGCTCGCACTAGCGCTTTACTCTAACACATCGCGTCGGGAAAATTACAAAGCTTGTCCTACTACAGGTCCAAGAGCCACTCAGACGTCGCTGTGTGCATCATGGCATCTGGGGCAGCCGAAATGCGTATGCCGACGATCGAGACGGAGCGGCTTGTGCTGCGGCCCTTCACTCTGGAAGATGTCGAGGCGTACCATGCATTGAATGCGCCAGAGCTAGTGAAATTCGCCATGGAGGAGCCAACCAAGTCGGTAGAGGAAGCACAGGAGAGACTCTCCAGTCGCATGCTCCGGGACTATGCGAGGCGCGGCTACGGGCGCCACGCGTGTGTGGACAAGGCATCTGGCCGGGTCGTTGGCTTCAGCGGCTTCAAGCACCTGGAGGACTTTGGCCACGACGACCTCGGCATCCGCACGCTTCCGGCGCAGCAAGGGCCTGGCCACGGAGGCGGCCCGTGCGCTGCTTCCTCGGGCCTTCGATGCGGCAGGTCTGGGGCTTTCGAAAGTCGTGGGGGCAGTGGTGGAGGGCAATACAGCCAGCGAGCGCGTGCTGGCCAAGCTCGGCTTCACACACTGCCAAACCGTGGACTATGAAGAGACCTCCATCCTTGTGTATGAGCTGACCAAGGATGAGTGGAAGCAGCAAAAACCAGTCTGATGAAGAAACAGCCTGGCCGTGCCTCCCGAAACGCACGGGCGTGCGTGCCCAAACCTGGATCTGGTTTCTGACTTACAATGTCTTTGTGCTTGAAAGCCTGGATCCAACCCCAAAATGGAAGCCGGCTTCAAGGGAATCCACCGGTGAATTCATCCATCTTTGACGGGGAAATCCATTCCAGGGAAAATCCATTCAAGGGGTCACTAAATGGATTTCCATCACTGATTTCAATGTTTGGAGGGGAAATCCAGCGACCCCTCAGTTTGAAACACCCTTCCACTGAGGCCGTGGCCTCCAGTTGGCTTTTGGGGCGGCACTGTGGTGCTGATGCTCGGGTTCCGGCCTTGGAATCGAAGAACACAGAGCCGGGCTGCGTCTGTTTTGGGGGGACCCCCAAAAACTTTTTGGGGATAGACCTCAATTTCCCTGACTGGTTTGGGGTAGTGGAACCCTCTGGCCAGGTTCCAACTCGACTTCCACTCTTCGCGTACTGGTTGTTTTTTTGCCGTTGCTTGCACGTCACCTGTTGCAAAGGCCAACTCAAAGTGAGCTTCCTTTTGGTGACGTGATTTGTTTGGTTGGGAATTGGGAAGCCTGAAACAGACTTATACAAGTGCCTGGCAAAGTTCTTGGATACGGGATGTCTGGCAACCTTGCTGAGCACGCACTCCCATGACGCTTTTGATTTCTGTTTGCGCACCCCAAGGACACTGCAATATCTTCGAGCTTCTGCGGACTGTGTGTGCGTTGTGCGTTCGCTCGCTGTTCAAAGCCTGCAACTGAGCGCTTTCATTGCAGCATTTGCATTGCAAAGTGCGCAAGGACTTGCCAAAGACAACTGCAACAACTTCTGAGAAGCAGCAATAAGCAAGTCTGAAGATGAGTTGGATTGCTTCAAATGTTCAAAATATAGACAGACTATGATATTTTGTGCATCGGCGGCGCAGTTCACCATCCGCACAACCGAGTTGCCATGCTTGGGTTTGTTTTTGCGCTGTTCTATTATTGATTACAAATCTAACCCTAGCCAATTTATTGATGATTGAAATCGAAATATTGACTGATTCTTGAGTTTAGATAATTATACGATAATGATAATTCAAGTTTGTTTATTTATTAAATATATGGGGGTCGGTTGTAATTGTATGTCTAAAATTATGAATTGAATCGTATAATTGGGAAAAATCGAGCCGCGAAAGGCTGATGATTGGATTGCGAAAGGGTAACGAAATTATTGTGAATTTAGACGATATATGAAGTATAGATTATGAAGTTGATATGTATTTTGTTTGTTTTAATTGGATGGGTTTGTATTTAAAAAAAAAAATGGAAAATTGAATATTGATTTTGTTTATATAAATTTAGGTTATGTTGTTTGAATTTATGTATTGATAAACACTGAAAGTTATGAATTGAATTTTTGTTTAAGATTTTGTGATTGGATGACAATTGGATGAATTATTAATGTGATTTTATTTATTCAAATTATATTATTTGTATTTTTTAGATATGGATGGATAAAGGTTATTATTTGAGATAAAATAATTAAATATATAATATGAAAATAATATTATTTGATATTTTATAATTGAAATTTGAATATTAAATATTTATTCTATAAAGCAGAACCATGAAACTTGCTCGTCGCATTTGCGCGCGTTTGCCCGGATCGCTTTTCCGAAAAATCCCGGATATTTCGGAAAATTGGTTCGGGTTGCCCTTGGAAGATAGAACCGCTTTTGTCCGGCCGGCCATAGATACTGATTGGATACTAATTTAGATATTTTGAGCAAATCGCAGCCGCCACTATTTTCTCGAAATATTCCGAATATTTCAGGAACCGTTTTCCCGAAATATTTGGAATATTTCGGGAAATATAGTCGTCGAAATATTCGGAATCTTTCGGAAAAATGGTCTGGAGTGCAATTATCGAAATATCCGGGATATTTCGTAAAAATGGTCCGGGTTTTGAACGAAGCCGTTGTATCTTCCAGATAAAGAGTTAGGACATATAGCTGTCTGTCTGTAGAAATTTTGGCCCATCTTCCGAGAGTTTGGCGACGCGAAGCTGTGAGCCGCGGCCGATTGTTGCGACCAATAGTGTTTTTCCCAATGCTTTGGGCGAAATTAGTTCGATTTTATTTGCACCTAGGATGTTTTCTGGTCGATCATCGCATTTTCGCTTGCGCTTGCAACAACTATGTGCGTGGATGGATCTTTTGAGGTCAACAGCCTGCGGATTCGTTCTCACCCTGCTCAGGCGACCCACTGGGAGAGGGCGTCAAAGGACAAGCGGCCAGCGGCCGCGTGCAACTGGGGCACGCGCAGCCGAGAGTTCGCACGCGCGATCTTGCAGCCCGTCTGCATTACGGCTCTCGGGGTCGGACGCGTGCACGTGCGCAGGCAAAGCCTGCGGCATGTCGACATCAGAATTCGGCGCGCTGCGCGCTGGAGGTGTGTCTCTTTTTGTCTCTGTCTCTCTGTCGGTGTCTCTCTGTCTCTCTTTGTCTGTTGGTCTCTTTGTCTCTGGAATCTGTTTCTTTGTTTGTCTGTCTGTGTTTGTCTGTTTGTGTCTGTCTGTCTGTGTCTTTCTGTGTTTGCGTCTGTGTCTGTGTCTGTGTCTGTCGGTGTCTGTCTGTGTTTGTGCCTGTGTCTGCGCCTGTGTCTGCGCCTGTGTCTGCGTTTGTGACTGTGTTTGTGTCTGTGTCTCTGTGTCTGTCTGTTTGCGTTTGTCTGTTCGTGTGTCTGTGTCTGTGTTTGCGTGTTTGTGTCTGCGTGTCTGTGTTTGTGTGTTTGTGTTTGTGCGGTTGTGTCTTTGTGTTTGTGTTGGTGTTTGTCTTTGTTTGTTTGTTTTTGTCTTTGTCTTTGATTCTCTATTTGTCTGTTTGTCTGTTTGTCTGTTTGTTTGGTTGTTTGTTTGTTGATTTGTTGATTTATTTATTTATTTGATGTTAATATTGTATTGGTTAAATTTTATGAATTTATGAAATTTAGTTGATATTGTATAGGTTAATTGTTATGAATTTATGAAATTTAGGGGAGTAAGGTGAAATTGTATGGATTGATTCGTTTTAAATTTGAATTATTTAATTGTTTTTTATTTTTTTGATTATTATAGTTATTATTATTATTATTATTATTATTATCGTTATTATGATTGTTATTATAATTATTATTATTTTTTAATTTTATTGGTTTTTTTCGTTATTATGATTTTGAATATGGTATTAGGCATTTTTGATTATATAGAGGGTATATGATGATAATTGTTTTGATAATTATTTATAATTTTGGAATTATAGGGGATATTATGATAATAATTATTATTAGAATTATTATTTTTATTATTTTTATGATGATTATTATTATAATTATTATATATATTATTATTATTGTGATTATTTTTATTATTTTTATTATTGTTATATATCTTGATTTCTGTTTCTTTAACATTGGTAATATAGGAAATAGAATAATAATAATTATGGTGATAGTTATTGGCAGCTTTGGTAATTTAGAGGATGTTATGATGATATATATTTTTATAACAAAATTGTATTTATAATTATTATTATATAATTTTATATTATATTATATTGGAAATAGAAAATACGTTAGGCCGAAAGGCGCTTCCTAAAAGATGGGTGTTGTTATATGTCGAAAAAACATTTTTTATTACCACGTCTTCAAAAAACACTGACATAAGTTAAGCCGAAAGGCACTTCCTAAGATATGGGTATTGACAAAAAAATAATTGTTACTAACATATCTTGAAAAAATATTAACGAAAGGCGCTTCCCAAAAAAAGGGGTGTTGCCGTGCTTCGAAAAAGAAACAGCACAAACCGGCCGCACAGACTTAGGCCACTTTTTGCACAGAGCATTCGTTCTTCCGATCGTCTTGCACTCACAAGCCAGCCGTATAGATTCAAGCAATTTTTAACACAGAACGGTTCCTCTTCTGATCCGCTTGCAGTCACAAGCCAGCCACGTAGACTCAGGCAACTTTTAGCATAGAATATTTCCTCTTCCGATCCGCTCGCAATCACAAGCCAGCCGCGTAGACTCAAGTAATTTTTAGCACAGAACATTCGCTCTTCCGATCGGCTTGTAATCACAAGCGATCAGCTTGCAATCACAAATCACAAGCCAGCCACATAGACACAGGCAACCTTTAGCACAGAACATTTCCTCTTCCGATTAGCTTGCAGTCACAAGCCAGCCGCATAGATTCAGGCAATTTTTAGCACAGAGCATTCGCTCTTCCGATCGGCTTATAATCACAAACCAGCCGCGCAAACTCAGGCAGCATTTAGCACAGAGCATTTCCTCTTCCGATCAGCTTGCAGTCACAAGCCAGTCGCGTAGACTCAAGCAATTTTTAGCACAGAACATTTCCTCTTCCGATCCGCTCGCAGTCACAAGCCAGCCGCGTAGACTCAAGTAATTTTTAGCACAGAGCATTCGTTCTTCCGATTAGCTTGCAGTCACAAGCCAGCCGCGTAGACTCAAACAATTTTTAGCACAGAACATTTCCTCTTCCGATTCGCTCGCAGTCACAAGCCAGCCGCGTAGACTCAAGTAATTTTTAGCACAGAGCATTCGCTCTTCCGATCAGCTTGCCGTCACAAGCCAGCCGCGTAAATAACACAAAATATTCCCTCTTCCGATCAGTTTGCAATCACAAATCACAAGCCAGCCACATAAACACAGGCAACCTTCAACACAGAGCATTTCCTTTTCCGATCAGCTTGCAGTCACAAGCCAGCCACATAGATTCAGGCAATTTTTAGCACAGAGCATTCGCTCTTCCGATCGGCTTATAATCACAAGCCAGCCGCACAAATTCAGGCAGCATCGCGTAGACTCAAGCAATTTTTAACATAAAACATTCCCTCTTCCGATCAGCTTATAATCCCAAGCCAACCGCATAGATTCAAGTAATTTTTAGCACAGAGCATTCCCTTTTCCGATCAATTTGTAATCACAAGCCAGCCGCGTAGACTCAAACAATTTTTAGCACAAAACGTTCCATTTTCCAATCGATTCAAGCCATTTTTAGCACAAAACATTCGCTCGTCACTTCCTTCCAATCGGTTTTCAATCACAAACCAACCGCGTAAATTCCAGCAATTTTTTTAACACAAAACAATTCCTCTATCATAAGCCAAATACATAATAACGCAATCAAAATGTCTCTTTCGGAAAATCATCCACACGGAGGTAATATATTATACTCATACCCTTTCAAATCAAAAAATTCCCTAATTTTTAATCCCATAAAAAACCATATCCAAATTTAGGAAAAAGATTTATTTCAAATCATAACAAGCAAACCAAATTACAAATTCGCCAAATGCCTTTCCACCCCCCCCAAAAAAAAAACCAATAACATAAAACAACAACCCATAAATATATATAATGTGTTTTTTCTATATTATATTATATTATATTATATATATATATATATTTGTATATATAGTCGGCGAATAAAAATCATATATATATATATATATATTATTCAAGCATAAATTCCAATAGCATCATGTTCTCTGTGTATATATCAAGATTCAATGTTGTATTTTTCAATTAACAAATTGCTTATTCTTCGTAGAGCGTGCTGAAAACATAAGCACCCGCGATCTGGCCAACAGCATTCAGGAGACAACTGCTTTGGCGTGTCGTTTTGAGGGTACCAGACATCATTCAGGGAGAACCGCCGCCAGTTTTGGGAGGGGTGTCGGAGTGCCTTACAAAAGATGGGTAGAGTGCTCGCCGAGGATACCTTGCTTTTAAAGCAAATCACAAGGAACACAGCCATGTGTGGGCTCCCCCAATGTTGACAAATACCCAGATGTGGCAGAAGCTCCCAAAAGACAAACAGCAATTTCCCTTACCGGGGAAAAAAAAAGAGTGCACCAGAAAACCAAAAGCCACGACCGCTCGACGCCTCGCAGCTCGACGCCCGCCTCCGCAAAGTCTTCTCTGCTGATCTCCCCGGGTCTGGGCTCGTCATCCGCCAGCTGCGCGTTTCGGAGTTCGGCGCGTTTCGGCGCGGCGGCTTGCCGAGGGCCCGGCCATGATCAAAAGAGAAACTTGTTTCATTGGGAAAAAACACGTTTGTTTGTTTTGTGCATTTTTCCTTCTTCTTTTTAAAGACGTCAGCTGGAAAAACAGAGTGATTACAAAAGAGATCTCTTCTTCCAGCAGACAACCGTAGCTGAATGGCTATTGTAAGCACACACACTCTTGTTTGAAGACGCCAAAGTGTCTGCCAACACTTCTGCCAAGTTGTTCGTTCACAGTCTCAAGGGTTGCCTTGGAAAGCAATGAGCCGGAAACCACAACTGTCTGACTACATTTGTTCCAACATCAAGGTTTTCCCCCTTCAAGGCCAGTCGCCCCCCCCTCAAGAATATAGAGGCCCCCTTGATTAATCCTGGCTCTCCAGTCAATGACAATTAAAGCACATCTTTGCCCTTTCCACTTGCTGTCCTATTGGCCAGACGGGGAGACGACCGGAGAAGGACCAGATTGCCCGGGCGGGCTCCCATCCGGTCCGTGTGGCTTGAAGGGTTAGGAAATCATAGGACATTACGATTCACGATGCCAGCTGGGTGTATGCAGCCGGCAGTCTAGGCGACGCAAAAGTTCGTTGGGACCATGTGCAATAGACATGCACCAGGAGGGGTCGAATTGACCTCATATTCGGGTTGGCTCCAAGAGAGCCACTGTCAACATATGCGACTTGCCCTACAGGAGATGGGCAACGTAGTGATTGCACTGGACAAAAAAGGCGAGTCCCCCTTCTCCCAAATTGACGTAGCGAGCTTCAAAAGCGGAAGCCCCAACCAACCCCACTGTTCAAACATCTTTGTTTCTTTCATACAACCACCTCCTCGAATACCAAAAAAAACACGGGCTTGATCAAACATGTGGGCGTGTCTTCTTTTGAGGGTACCCGTTGCTTGGAAACGAACCGGAGGACACGGCTTTAAAAAAAAAGAGAAAAACAAGTCTTTGCATTCGCCTCAACGAAGGCCTCCTCCATGTCCAAGTAGTAGGCCCTGCCTGGGGCTTCCGACTTTTTTGGGGGGCTTTGACGTCGGCTCGGGTCGACTCTGCCTTTGGGGTGAGGGCCCGGTTTGTTGGTGGTGTGAAAGAAAAACCTACTTGTTTGTTGTTTGGGGGGGCGTCCCTTAGAAAAGGACGCCCATTTCGCAAAATTGGGGATTCTGAAATTGGACGGTCTGAACATGAACGGTTTATTTATGGGTTCAACCACGTTGAAGAAACGACCACTTCGCGAGGATTCCAAAACGGATCTCAAAACCTTCCAACACCTTCTTACGCCACTTATTGAGGTAACCCCCCGAAGTAGACTTGTGATCCCAGCGGGGGAAATCAACCACCAATGGTTCCATACCTTTTGAGGGCACTCCAAAAAAAGGCGCCTTGGACATACATCTCCTTTTGGACGGAAAGCCAGGGCGAACCAAACGAAAAGGACTCCTACATCTGGTTTGCCTTTGACTAACGCAGCGCCCTCTGCCCGAATCGAGTCAATGGCCGACTACACTCTGCAAATGCTCGTCCATGATCTCCTGACAAACCCAGTGAGAAAGCAGTGAAAGGACGATATTTGGATGACGCTGGCTTTCTACGCATGTGACTGCCACCGCAATGCACACAGCAAAGACCTTCACGTCATCAGCGACGAGCCACTCATCATCCTTGGCTCATGACAGCTAGCTGAGCTTGACAAACTCCATTGCCGAAACCATGGCAAGTGGAACACAAAAGTGTGCTCTACATTGGGCAGTCTGCAACTGTCTACTGCAGTTTTCCCGACCTCGTGGCGGATGTTCCAGACTCGCACCATCTCCTGATTAACTGCGCATGCATGCCCAAACTCAAGAGAACCTGCAAAACCCGCTGTCCTCCCTGACTTTCCGCCAGTTGGGATCGCTGTCAAGGTCGTCTTCTACATCTTCAACTTCCTCCGCCTGCACGCCACTCTGCAACTGCTTGCTCTCTTCCTCACGCATGTCCTCAGAGGGAAAGTGCCTGGCTGCGCAAAGCTGTTCGTCTTCCCCAGCGCTCCATCCTCACCATGGAAATATATTGAATGTTGCTCAACACCCTGGCAGAAGCTCCACTGACGATGATAACCAAAAGTCTGCCGTTTTCGCTGCGCTTGGACCCTACGACCTTGAAAGTCAGGCTTCCCGTGGCAAAACAACACAGTGATGGAAAATAAGAACTTTACTGAATTACTTGCAGTTACCCTCCCACACATCAACCTGGAACCTGACACGGGGTCCGTTTAAAAGAAACATGATCTTCCAAAACTTTTGTGTCAGGTTCCATGTTCACCAGTGGGAGTGCCGAACTCATCACTCCATGGCCTCGAGCAAGGAGTCGCCCCGCCAGGCACAAAGCTCCCACCTGGCCGGATCTCAAAGAGCGCTCCATGCCGATTGCATCCCATGCATTACTGTGGATGGACGAAATCCTGCACCACCTAAGAAACCCTGGAATGATTCCCCTGTAAATACCAACAAACCATGGTTTCCCACGGTTTCAAAGTGGTGCAGGATTGTGTCCATCCACAGTAGCTCTCATTGCTGTAAGTTGTCAAGCTACAAGCTACCACGAACTGACACCTTGCAAGCTGCCCGCAAGGTTACCCATGGTGCTGTACGCACTCGGGTGGCTGGCAAGACCCGCCTAAGAGCTGGAGAATGCCTACCTAAGTGATGCAAGTGCGACCTTGGCCACATGCCTCGGGGCTTCTTTTGAAATTTTGGAAGCACGCCCAACAGGGACCCAGTTTTTTTCAACCCGCCACTATTTGTTTCTTGGGCGCACAAAGTTAAAATGGGGTTATCAGATGCACCGGGATATGGGTGTGGCTCAAAATTTAAGAGGTGGGGTTACGCAGGTGTTGGTTTTTGTTTTGGTTTTTGTTTCCGTTTTACCTAGGGGCCATGTTGAGTACTTTTTTTGAGCCACAGCCATATGGGTTGGAAAGCAGGGTCCCCCCCCCCCCAAACCTACAACAAAGCCTCATCCCGATGCGTGACAAGTCGCCAGAACTGGTGCGACCAGCAACAGTCGTCTCCGCCTCAAACGTCGGCTGGCTTTACGGTCTGAAGTGTAAAACAAAGCGGGCGGAATGCAGGACTCTCCTCGTTTACAGTCCAGGTTAGGGAAAGGTGAGTCATATTCAAAACCTGCTGTTGAAGGAGCCTACCAAAAGCATGCTGGCACTCTCCCGTAGGCTTTGCCAGAGTCCGTTGGGGCCAAAACCAACCTCTTCGCTCGATTCCCGGCCTAACCCACTGGATGCAGCCTGCGACACGGGTGACTCGTGGGTTTCATGGATCGTCAAGTCTGATACAAACTCTGATCTGAGTAGCACTGAAAATATAGGTGTCCTTTTTGGAAAATAGATGGCCCTGGTAAATGGTTGAGCCACAAGGTAAACCAGAGACCTCTATTTGTTACATAACCAAACCAAGCGAAAAAGGACACCTATCTCAAACCTGCCCCTGCTGCTTGCAACCTAAGCTGTAACCGTCCTTGAAAGCTCTGCAAAGCCAAGGTCATGGCGCTGGAGGCAACCAGGTAAAAGCAGAAAAAATATAAGATCTCTGCTGCGCTCGTGATTCCATGTTCCTCGTTGGAAACGGTTGGAATGGGAAAAACACATGTTGCCTTTCTTGATGCATCACTCGTGTCGGAGTAGTAAAGGCCCAAGAGCTCTTTGCAGCACGTTGACTGGAGGTCAAGCCAAGCTGCCTATCTGTGATATTTGCCGCATGTCATGAGCTTGGCGCGCACCTTTTTGGTTGCCTGGGTGCTTCCTCTGCATCCGTAGAGCGCGGTTTCAAGGTCGGACGCGGATGAAATCCCTGGCAAGTCATCAACGCTGCCTGCGGCGATGAATTGGCGTAAAGTTCTTAGCCTCGAACCCAGCATGAAACCTGACCGCGACAGTGGCCTCGCTGAAACCTGACTGGAGTTCCCTGACAGACCATTTTCCTCTTGGGGCTGGAGGGTAAGTGGGAGGGAGGAAAGCCGACCCCCTTCCGGAAGGCTCCTTGGATGTCGATGTCGCTGTCGAGGGCTTCGGCGGCAAGCTCAGCTGGCGAGTTGGCTGACAGGCGTGCCTCTTGCGTGTTTAGAAAAATACCGGAACTGCGTTCCCGAGCCCAAACAACAGGCCAAAGATCCGACCCATAAAACTGATTGCGGAGCGAGCGCCTTGCTCATGAGTCGGATGAGGATGATGAACCTCATGCAACAGTCGGAGCAGGATCACCTCCCAAACTCATTGCAGCAGAAAGGGAGGCTCAGTCATCTGCGCTTTCGCTTCTTGTCCTGTGAAAGCAGAATTCAAAGTGGTCGAAGATATGGATGGACGTGGGCCTTCTTCTTCTTGTCCTTCTTCTTTTTCTTTTTCTTCTCATCCTTGAAGAGTTGCGACGTTTTGCACAAATCAAACAGGATATATTATGCAAAAAGCCAGCCAGCCTTCTTCTTTGTCTTCTCCTGGCCGGCAATGCAGCTGCAGCAGCAATCTGCAAATGGCTTTGGCCTTCTTGGACTTCCTGTTGCTTTTGTCCTCCTTGTCCTTGCCACCTTCAAGAAGCAGGTCCACAGATTCTATGCATTGATATTGACCCCAGAATCCCTCCCTTTTCAACTATGCAAGAGTCTAAGAATCTGGGTGGCCACATAAAAACCGCCCGCAAAACAAGGTTTGCATCATCTATTGCGAAACGACTGCCCATCCAGGCAATCTACCACACACAAGAGAACAGGCCAGAGACAAGAGGGATAGCCTCGAGCCTTTCAGAGGCAGGTCTAACAGCTCAGAGAGGTGCAAAAACGTGTTTCATAGCAGCTCAACTCGACGACTTTTCCTTAAGCCCCGACAGCTAGGCGCTGGACTGCTGGCTTCGTCATCTGGGCCATCAATGAAGTCATAGACCTTTCCATCCAAGCCCATGGTGGCCTTGTTCCCGGCTCTGCGGTCCCTCTCCTCCTGCTCCAAGTCCTTCCGCCGGAAGCTTCCAGTGGGCGCCTCCGGGATCGCCTCGTCGTCCGAGCCGGCGCGGTAGGCCAAGGACTCCAGGCTTTCGCTCAGAATCCCGGCCTCCGTTCACACAGAGCCATCTGTGGGTCAACATGAAACAGGAGGGGCAAACCGCAGGTTGTGGTTTCCATGTTTCCACTTACCAGGGCAAGCCATTTTAGGTACCGGGTTCTTGAGCCACAGCGACATCTCCGTGCGCCCTATGGTCATGGTTCCGGAAAAATGGCTGTGGGTAAAAACCAATGGTACCATTTTGGGGTAGGTGCACCACCCATTTTCGGGGGTTTTGACCCATGGCCATGTCTCCGTTTGCCCTATGGTCATGGTTCCCGAAAAGAATAGGAATAAATTTGAATGGTTGTCAAGGATCCTTACGACCAGGTGGATGACCATCCCTGTTAACCCTAAGAAGTCTTTTGAGCATGGCACGTATGGGGGTTGATCAATATTCCATTTAGGGCCCCCAGTTTTGACCACGGGTAACTTCTCCCATGTGGGAAAGATCATCGTTTTGGGTGTTTTCCTCCAATGGTCATCCCATGTAAAGGAACTGTTGATCAACCAAGGCCCTATCAACATACATGCACACCAACCTACCCGGCCCAAGCATACATGCCCGCCCACCCGTCCGCAACCTACCCGGCCCAAGCATACATGCCTGCCCACCCGTCCGCAAACAAACAAACAAACAAACAAACAAACAAACACGCACTCACGCGAACACGCAAACACGCAAACCAACCAACCAAACAAGCAAGCAAACCAGCCAATCATCAAAACAAACGAACCAACAAACCAACAAACCAACAAGCCAGCAAACCAACCAACCAACCAACCAACCATTCCTCATTATCTGGCCTTGCTGCCCTTCACCTTGATGTGTGCCTGAGGAGCATCCTTCTTGTGAGCATTGTGAGCATACTCACCCAGAGCGATTCCAGTGACCGCACCCCGAGTGCCATCGTTGGGCTTCGGTTTCTTCCTATCCGATCTTTTGGGAGAGAACGTCCCACCATCGATCTCTTGCTGAATTTGTAGCGCCGCCCTGGCCGAGTCGGACAGCTCATCCTCATCCTTTTCGCGCATCGCACATTCGCTCAGCTGACCTGGCAGCTGACCTGAGCCTGCACTGCGAACATCCGCCTCCACCAAATTGCCAGTGCCTTTCGTGCTGACGATGCCCTGCTGGCCATGGTTCAAAGCCAACGGTACCGTTTTTGGGATAGGTGCACCACCCATTTTAGAACCTATTTGAGTGGGGATTGAGATGTTCACTGGGGGTACGATTTGGGTTTTGACCCATGGCCTGCTTGGTTTGGGTTCCCAAGTGAGAGCACCCACTTTCAAGAGCATCGCGCCGAGACCGAGATCACCGCTCGGATTTTTGTTGGCAACGCACTGCTCGAAACTTTGAGCCTCCGTGCGGCGCAGGGCCGAGTTCCAGACTGCAAACTGTGGTCATTCTTGGGCGAAGCGAAAAATACGGAGCAAACTGAAACCAAGCCGCGTCTGAAACTTGGCCGCTGACAATTTATGAATTCGTGAAACTCAACTGCGCGCAGGAATAGCAATGCAGTAGACTCCCTCGCGTCAATCCCACCAGCAACGGAGCCAATTCAGCTGTGGCATGAAAGCCAGTGAGCGTCAGGTGGATTCAAGGTTGCTCTTCGTACCCCGCAGCTAGCTCAGGTGACTCGATAGCGCAGCGTTGGCCGGCTGGCGTCTTCTGCTCGCGTGTCGCATAGCGACCCGACGGCTTGATTGCGTCGCGGAATTCCGGGTTGGTTCATCCAAAAGCTGCTCGAATCAAAGCTCGGCCTGCGTTTGCCATGTTTGGCTCGAAGTTGGTTTCACACTCCAAAGATCTCAAAAAGCTTCTGGTCAACCTGAGTGTGGCTTCGTCACAGGGTCTAAGCCCGGATCCGAAGCCTTAGCAAATCGGCCCAAGAGACCAAGAGCCGCCTAAACGGTCCCTCTTGGCATTCAGGCTGAACGTCCATGTAAACGGAGGCGCAGCATGCTTGACGCACGAAATCTGGAGGAAGCACTGCCCCCTCATATCAGCAGTGGAAACACAAGAAATCCTCGAACCAATCCCTCGC